CTTCTCTATTTTTCATCTCTCTCATTTTCTTTCAACCTCCTTCATTCTCAGATTTTTTTTTTATTTAAACTTTAAAATTTGTTGGATAAAATTAACTAAGATGATATTTCTTATCTGTGACTTCCTTTATAATTTTCTCTGAATTACATGCACCACCTTATCAATCTGGGTTCTAATGAGACATGGCTGGAAGAACATGAGACGTGGTTGGTGAAAAATTTGAGAAAACATAATGAAAAATATTCAACAGAGACAAAGTCAACCCTCTTTTAATTGTTTAACCGAACAAATCAAAACTTCACAAGTAAGATAATCACTTCCTACAATGCTTGTTTTGTACTTTCCACCCAGCGAGGTCATTCTACTTCACATTCAAAATATTTTAAATAAATACCCAACACTATTTACATTAACTATCAAAATCGATTTAGACATACATTAACTATCAAAATTGATTTAGACATCCACCACATATAGAATTGATGTTTTTTTTTAAATATAACTCATCATTTTCTACATTGGCTCTATAAGTAATCTATGTTCAAATTTATTTCTTCCCATACGTCACTTTCAACATCTAATTTTCAATAAACTCGATGTACATATATATGACCCATATATATCCAAATTTTCTAAGTTGAATCTTAAAAGTCAAGAAGAAGATGAAATGTGGTCGAAAAAAGCAAAAATAAAAAATATAAACAAATTTTTTTAAAAGAAATGCAACTTTTTACATTAGTTTTCTCAGAAAACTGATGTAGAATGTCTTCTTTTGTTATAAAATATAACTTTCTACATTGAAGCGAATTAATGTAGAAATTTATTTTTTTACGTAGCTATTTTAATATCAGTTCTTGTAAAACTGATGTAAAACATATATTTTATTTAAAGAAAACATAACTTTCTAATTTTTTACATGAGTTCTATGGAGAAAATCGATGTAAAAAGTTATTTTTTACGCAATTACATTAACATCGATTCTCTCATAAAACTGATGTCGTAATTTAAAAAAAAAAAAACACAACTTTTTATATTGGTTCTCTATAAAGAACAAATGTAGGATTTTTTATTTTATTTTTTGCATAGCTACTTCTACATAGGTTCTCTAGAGAGAATTGATGTAAAAAATAAAAAAAAATTTAAATGTCATTGTTTTTAACGTTATATACGAAAGTGGGTATATGCTTTGATTGTTTGCTTCTTCATTGTTCCATTATGTTAATAAACATAATAGCGACTTGATATCCATAGAAAGTGGAAGAAAGATGTCATTTTATTAGTTTAAATTTTTCTGTGTTAAAATTCTATCATTTATGAATTTTTTAATAGTGCTAATAAGATGAGAGTAAGAGAGGAAAAAAAGGAAGAAGATGATGAATGAAGAACATAAATAAGATTCTAAAATTTTAATATTTTCCAAATTTTTTAGTGTTATATTTTTCTAGATAAATGTTCAGCCATTTAGAAATCCTTTACAAGATCAGAATGAAAGAAGAAGAATAAGAAAGAAAGAGATAATTATATTACTGATTTCAGAATCTGTATATTTTGTGGTAACTGTATTGAGTATTGTCCAACAAATTATGTATCAACGAATATAAAGAGTATAGAATTTCACTAGTAATCGTTACGAATTGAGAAAAAATAAGAATATGAATTACTAATATATTTTTTTTTATAAATCTAACTTAAATAACCAGTTTCCTATAATACAATTTTAATCATTTGATTAAAATCAACTATTTACAATATTTAATAACTTTTTCAAAAGTTATTTTTATCTTACTTTTTACAAAAGAAGAGAGGATGTTAGAATCACCCAAAAATATATTTCATCCTACAAATTCAAAATACAACTTGTTATGATTAAATTTTTGTAATATTGGCAGCTTTAGGCCAAAATTTGAAATCGTGATCAAAGGCAACTACCAATAGAGTTTCCAAAAATAAAATACTGCTCATTTAGACAAATAAAGCAAAGATGACCCCAATAATATACTCCATATCCGTGCTTGTTTCGCAATATTACTATTATCTTTAACAAAAATGCGTGGTTTGATTTTATGTATCTGATGGATATGATTAAAGTTGGTTTATGTGGTTTGGTTTTCCTCTAAATTCAATAGAGTTGATACCTTTTTTTCATATTGGTGCATTAGTCCTCTTAATAGTATGAACACTGTTGTTAATTATTTATGATTATTAATTAATATGTGTATGAAAATTAGAATATGCTATTCAATATTTTTTTGCCTCTTGGCAGCAATGATTTCATAAAATATTTATATATAAAAAAGATTAAAAGAGACAAAGTTTCACACATATTTTTAATCAATTAAAATTATAATTATTATTAAAAAAATTAAATTTACATATATAATCCTCTGAAAGAAATTAAGGAAGGAGGGTAAGGGTAGGCTAGTAACCCCAAAATACATCCTTGTCGGCAGTTTCATGTGATAAACAAACTAGAAGGTACTATAAAACAAAAGGAAAGAGACACTGGATATGATATTTATATATACAGAGAGAAAGAATCAGCCTGTAATTGTTTGCTTGATTTTTGAAAGAATGAGACAATTAGTACCATGAGAGTTGCAGAGAAAATGATTATAATATTTTGAGAAATTGAGGATTAATGATATTGACCCTTATTTTTGTTTCGACCATTGGATATCACACTGATTTGGATACCAAGACCCAATACCGTTTTCAAGCAAAATTATGGAACTCATTTCTGCTTTTTTTAAAAGGTATAATAAATATTTATTTTTAAATACTTAAAACTAAGCTTCAGAGAGTTGATGGTAACAATTTTTGTAACCCCAGTTTTCCTTTCATTATCTCTGCCTCGTCTTACACGAAAAACATAAAAACCATTGCAATTTTGAGTCATTATGTCGTTTCCCTCAGCGTTTGTATCCATTTGATTGGACCAATGTGCCCACCTTCGGTGCCCTTTACAACCAGAGACAGCAATCACCTTCTCATCTAATCCTTTTAATTAAGAAACTAAACATTTAAAAAAATAAAAAAGACCCCAAGTATTTTGTTAATTAATTGACTAATTGCAAATAACACTAAAGAAATGGATTTAATTGAAACGAAAAAGGACGTTTACATTTATCAGTACCACAATGTCTCTAGTAAGATTATTTTCATGAAAAATATTTATCGGAAATGATATAAAATAGCATACGATGCAAACATTATCCAATATTATTAAGTTATAGAGTAAAGATTAAACTGTATTCCTTTCAATCTTGACCTTCTCAATACGTCACACGTATAAAAAAGTAAACACTACGGAAATTTACCAAATCAACTATAACTTGGATAATATTTGATTGTTTGATGGATTAATTAGCTAATAATAAAACTCATTTTTTTTGCAATTGTCCATGAACTAAAAGTTCAGTGGAAAGAAACAGAAAACACGTATGATTCATAGACGGATAGAAAGGAGCACAAATATGATGGCCATTCTGAAAAGCAGCAATTATGTATCTAAACATAATGATGACTTCAAGTAGAATCTTAGATACAAACATATCTTCAGGTTGAATGATTGGTACGTGATCAAGTTTTCAGCGTCAACTAATAATATGAATAGACAGTACTGCTCTAATATCCTTTTAAGCCCTAGCACTCAAAATTAAACCTTTGTAAATGGCCCAAAACATAATAAAGAAATAAACAGGGAAGAAAAAACAATTAAAAATCTGCAAAATTATAAACCTCATTGGAAGTAAGATCAATATTATTTACTATTTGATTTAGTGCTTGTTTGGAAATAGATTAATTTTACGAAATAAATTTTAAAAAAGTAATTTTTTTCTGATAAAATAAGCCGACCACACCATTATTTACTAATTGGAAATTAATCAAGTTTGGACTACGAGGAACTTTATGCATGTGAAGTGTTATTGCATGGTTTTAAGATTGCAGGAACTTAATTTGTATACATTCAATAAATTTCTATAATTTTCTGATAAAAGAAAAGTTAAAGATTTCGTTTCACCTTCTCGGCACCATCTTTTATATAATACGTTAGTTGAGAGAAACTATGTTTGGGGAAGGCCATACAATTTAAGTGTTGTGCAGAAGAAGAGGTCAAGCAAGTGATAAGAGGGAAATGCATCATCACCAGCCATGCAAAACGAAGTGCAAATTATCCAAAAAGCGTCTTGGTAGCTTATTAATTATCATAACTCAAGATTCTTGAGTTGTCTTACTCCTATATTCACAAAGGAATAAAAGTCACGAGATTATCACAAATAAAAATGAAAAAAAAAAAACAAATGTGGACATTTTATTAAAGTAAAATTATAATTTTTATTTTTAGAATAATATAAAAATACTTAAGCCATATCTAAGTTTTCCTGATAAAATAATGAAGGACTAATGTTTTGATATCACCGCAATTTTGAAAGTTTTTAAAACAACTCTCATGCTAAAATTTATTTTATATAATTCTTTAAAATTTTCAAAATATCATTTTTTTTACTTTAAGTAATTCAATTAAAATTTTATTCCAAACTAGCAATTCTAAAGAAAATTCAATAAACTCCGAAACCTACTCTACATTTTTATACTATATCCCATTTGTATGACAACTTTACAAAGAAACATAAATAAGTAAAATTTGGGGGTAGTTTAAAAAAAATTAATTTTGTTTTTCAATTAAAATTAAAAATTTATATTTTCTAATAAAATATTTACATTTAATATTATCATAAATTAATTAAGATAAAACTGTATTTTTAATTAACAAATATGACTAAAAATATCTAAGAAACTGCACTTAAATTTTGTCTGAATAGAAAAGTTGGTAAATAAAGTGAAAAAGATGGAGGTGCATGTAAATGAAAAGGAAAAGAAAACATAAACAAAAGTGCAGATTAATTGATTTAACAATGTCAAAGTATTAGGATGCACGAAAGAAGAAACTGGAAGGTAACATGTTCCAAGTACAAAGTAAAAGATAAAAATGGAGTAAATCAATAAGCATTGACAAAATTGCAGTTGGTCCTGATTTCTCCTTCATCCTGGTCCGTGAGAACTTCAACAATGCCAAGCTTTCCCATGGACACCGCAAATTGGTGCTCAAAAACATTGGGAGTGGCACTTAATGCAGAAACAAGAGGTGAAGTCCTTGGATCAGCATATAACAATTGATCAGTAGATAACAATCCCATTTTCTTCTTAAGATTTATGTAGTACACATGGTCAAATGTCTTCGGTGTTGTAGCATCAAGGTCCACATACTCTGAGGCCCATCTACACTTCCTTTGCAAGAAGTTAACATACTTTGGATCTATAGTTGGGTCTGGTTTGCCAGTTCCTTGGTAGTTGTACAGCCTATATTGAATGGATCCACATGAACTCCTTCCAATAGTATGAGCCCCTAAACACAATCATCACACACGCATGTATATTGCAAACAATTAGTGGAACATTTTGAAGCAAGTTGGGTAATATTACTAATAAACTATATAAAGTTTAAATTATAAATGCTTCATTTAATTTAAGATTTTATCAATATTAGTCTTTAAAATTAGTGTAAAGAGTTCAAGATTGACAAATTTTTATTAATGAAGAAAGTATATTAATCTGCCTAAAGACTAATGTTAATATTTTTAAAAATTTATTTACCTGAGAGAACAACTAAGTCAAGCACACTCATGCCCTTGGATTGGAAAAACTCAATCAAGGAAGTAATATTTTCATGGCCCATAGGCACCATTTCAGCTTCCTTAGCAATGGAAACCTTGCCATCTTTCCTACCATAAGGAACTGCCCAATAGGGTCCACCCAACTCAACCGTGGCATCCCTTGCAGCAGCAGTTAGAATGTCAGCACAAGACACTGTCTTTGGGCATTGTTTCTCAAGTTCTGCCTTTATATCATCCACCACTTCGAACCCTCTCAGTGTCTTGCTTGCCTGTGCTGTCCTCTCACTTCCATCATGGTTCAACAGAATGGAGCCATCACATCCCTGCATGAATAGATTAGTCCAATTGAGTATAGTGCCAAGTTATACATATTGTTTGGCAACTTTTCTTTTTTGGAGAATTGAAAATTTTCAATTTTTTTTAGCTCACAAGATTGATTCTAAGACATGAATTAATAAAATTAGACTACTTTTAATTCACTCTCAAAAGTTAATTCAAGAAAGAATTATTCAAATTTGATAAGAAATATTATAATCACACTCCTAAATAACGTGAGTTACAAAATATGAACATGTCTATAGTTAAAGGGTGATCATTAAAAAAAATAATAAAATCAACCAACTTTTAAGCTATCATTTTCAAACAATAATTAATTTTTAAAAATTCAATTTTTTTAAGAATTAATTCTACAAAAATCTAATACAATAAAGGCTAATTATGTACCCTGACAGAGCAATCATGGAAGTGCAACCTCAGGAGACTAGCTGCTAAAGTGTAGTCCTTCTGAATCCATTCTATCAATTTGCTGTGTAGAATTGATTCGAATTGGGGACAGCTTTCACGGTAGTGACCAAAAGATAGGAGATTGTCCAAGTTGGTTTCATATATTGTTGGGACTTGGAGAGTGAAGACAGTATCATCATAATTTTCATGAGGTTGGGCTATGGCTGAAACGATGTAAAGAGCCAAAAGAAGAAGCAATGGGAGGAAAGAATTAGACATGTTCACTCTTAGTTATTAACCTCAATGACACCCCAAATTGGTAAGGCTTCCAACTAATGAGGTAAGTGTGAAACACTTTGTTCTGTGTCACATGTCCTTGTGTGCACATTAGACGTGTGATTGGTTTATATATAGAGAGGAAGATTTTGATATTGTGATTATATTAATAGGATGTGACAAACGTGGGAAGAACAAAATAGTGTGCGCATTAGACATATATGAGTAGTTTATATATAGAGAGAGGAAGACTTTGATATTGTGATTATATTATTGGGATGTGACAAACGTGGGACGCACAAAAGATAACATAGATGACATGTTAGCATGTTCCCTTGTTTTCTCATTTGTTGTTCACCCTGGAAGCCAGCATGATTCTTCTTTAATCGATATTTCTCCCATTATTTGTCATGGGCATGGCTGGGGAATGAGCATAATTGATTAATCATCATCCTTTGAGTGTAATATGGTTTAATGCATTCAATTGATTCTGTATATTTTTTCTGCAACGGTTTACGTTGACCAAGTGTTTAATAAATATTATCAATTAATAATCATCTTTGATTAAGTTTTTTTTCTTTTTATTTAATTATTCATTTACAGGTTGATATAGGATAGTTATTTAGTGGTATAATTGGCACACATTCTTTGATTCACTCAAGTTAGTTATTACTCAATTCTATAGGCAATCTTTATGAGTGATTCTGAATATTTGTATAAAGCAACACTATTGTAATTCATTTTTCATTGAATAAATGAGAAGTATTCTTCTGAGATGGTATCAAAGCTCCTAAGGGAGTTCTAGTAGCTAAGTGGTTTATCAATACGAATATTTCGTTCTTTTTCTTTTTTCATCTTCTCTTCTCTCTTTTTCTACTTTTAACAATGGTGGCTACCCAGAACTCCAACTATAGCGATTACCAAAGCAATACGTCCAATCCTTTGTATCTTCACCCCAGCGAGACACCATCACAAGTGTTAGTCACCTTGCAATTGAACGGCATGAACTACCATGCTTGGGAAAGAGCTTTGAAGCTCACCCTTCTCTCCAAGAACAAGCTAAAGCTTGTGGATGGCAGCTTGATTCCTCTGTCATCAACGGACCCCGTTTATGGTGCATCTTGGTTCATAGATCCATTGATGATTCGAGCTACAATCAATTCTATGGATCGACCAAGCATCGGAGGTGTGGAAGGACCTTCGTGATCGTTTTTCACAAGCGGAAATGTTTAAAATTTCTGATTTTCAAGAAGAAATCTATCATTTGCAGCAAGGAGCAACCACTATGAGTCAATATTTTACTTGGGATGAGTTTGAAAATTATAGACCCGTGATTTCTTGCAAGTGTTTGATACCTTGCACATGTGGAGCAAGTGAATCATATAAAAAGTATAGGGATCAACATTATGTTATTTGTTTTCTCAAAAGGATTAAATGAGCAATTCTCACATGTGAGGTCTCAAATTATGCTTCTAGATTCCCTTCCTTTTGTAAACAAAGCTTTTTCTCTGGTTGTTCAACAAAAAAGGCAAATATCTACTACCGGGGTCATTGAGTCCTCCTCTGATGCAAAAGCATTTGCAACAAATTTAGATTAATATACTGTTGGTAGAGGTCGAGGCAATTTTGAAAGGGATAGGGGTCATGGTATAGCAGGAAGAGGCCAAGGGACTTCCACAAAATTGTGCGCTTACTCTGGAAGGAACAATCACACAGTAGACACTTGTTATTTTAAGCACGGTTTCCCGCTGGTTATAAGCCTAGACCTAAGAATGCAAATGCTATTATCTCCAATGAAGCTTGTATTTCAGAAAAAGACTCTCAAAACCAGCCAGGGAGTGTTGTTCCAAGCATTGATTTCATACAAAAGTAATATCAAGGTCTTCTAAACTTTGATCTCTTACATGTTGACATTTGGGGACCTTACTCCACCACTTCTATTATGGGTTATAAATATTTCTTGACCATCATTGATGATTTTTCCGGTTCACGTGGATTAAACTAATGAAACATAAAAGTGAAACCAGAGACATTTTGTTACTTAGAGACACAATTTGATGCAAAACTTAAGACAATCAGAAGTAATAATGGACCAGAATTTTTAATGATAGAATTTTACCTTGCTAAAGGCATTTTTCGTCAAACTACTTGTGTTGAAACATCTTAACAAAATGGGGTGGCTGAAAAAAAGCATCAACACATCATAAATGTCACCAGAGCCTTGATGTATCAGGCTAATTTACCAAAATCTCTTTGGTCATTTGCTGTCATACATTATGTCCATCTCATTAATAAATTACCTACACCTTTATTACAAAATAAGTGATCCTATGAAATTCTTTATGAACAATCACCAAATTTTAATCACTTAAAGGTTTTTGATTGTTTAGCTTATCCCATTACTTTGGAGCAAGGTATAAATAAGTTTTCCCCAAGAGCTAGAAAAACAATTTTCATTGGATACAAAGAAGGAACTAAGGATTAGTTGTTGTATGACATTCAATCTAGAAAAAATTTTGTCTCTATAAATGTCATTTTTTATGAAACTTCTTTTCCTTTTCAAAGGGAGGAAGCATCTAACATGACTAATTTCTTTACACCAAAACCAACCTGTCAAGGTTCTTTACCATTTACCATATATGTTGTTGCTGCATTACAAACCCCTAAACCTGAAACTACTTTAACTCCAAACAATGACACATTACCAGCAACTCATGCTCCATCACATGCTGCACAATTGCCCATTAGAAAACCTACAAGACAAAAGGCAACAACCAACCTACTTGAGAGATTATCATTGCTATCTATCTGCTGCCAGCAACAGTGATTTGTCTTCATGTATCTCCTCTTTAATGACTTATTCTTTATATTCATTTCTTTCTTGCCATAAATGCTCATCAAATTATAAGAAATTTTGTTGTTCAGTATCGTCCTTGATTGAACCTAAAACATATTCTCAATCATCTAAATTGGATTGTTGGAAACAAGCCATGAAAATCTGAGATTAAAGCTCTTGAACCAAATCATACTTGACAAATAGTTGATCTTCCTCCTGGAAAAATCCCAATTGGTTGCAAATGGGTTTATAAAATTAAATATCATGCTAATGGTAGCATAGAAAGGCATAAAGCTAGATTGGTTGCCAAGGGTTACACACAACTTAAAGGAGTTGATTACTATGACACATTTTCTCCTGTAGCAAAGCTCACTATAGTGAGAGTTATTCTTGCCTTAACGGCTGCCAAACATTAGTTTCTTGAGCAATTGAATGTTAATAATGCATTTTTTCATGAGAATTTACATGAAGAAGTCTACATGACTTTGCCTCCAGGCATGGCCCCTCTCATCCCAATAAAGTTTGTAGACTCAAAAAGTCATAGTATGGGTTAAAACAAGCAAGTAGGCAATGGTATGCTAAGCTTATCACAACCTTACTGGCCCTTGATTTCAACTAATCTTCTGCTGACCATTCACTCTTCATCAAGCATGCAAGTGTTTCCTTTACTGCCCTGCTAGTATATGTTGATGATATAGTTCTTACATGGAATGATTTTGATGAAATCCAATTTGTTAAGGGACACTTGGATACACAATTCGGTATTAAAGATCTTAGCCATTTTTCGTTATTTCCTTCGTCTTGAAATCTTAAGATTTTCTTCTGGTATTCTGGTTAACCAAAGGAAATATGCCTTAGAATTGTTGGATGAAAGTGGTATACTTGCTGCCAAACCTTCATCCACTCCTATGGAGCCTTCTACTCGATTAGTTAGCTCAGGAATATACATGTATCTGATCCTCATGCTTACCACAGATTTGTTGGCCAGTTAATGTATCTTATCATCACCAGACCAGATCTGACTTTTGCTACACAACATTTAAGTCAATTTGTCTCTAATCCTATGGTTTCTCATCATCAAGCTGCCATGAGAGTCCTTAGATATATCAAGAGTTCTCCTGCTAAAGAGATTTATTTTGTAAAAGTTCCTCAATAATTTCATCTACTTTTGCTTATTCTGATTGGTGTTGTTGCTTAGAAACTCGCAAGTCCATCACAAGCTATTGTGTTTTGCTTGGTTCATCACTGATTTCCTAAAAAACCAACCACAGTTTCTCGCTCTTCATCAGAGGCTGAATATAGAGCTTTTGCAGCTCTTAGTTGTGAACTGCAACGGCTGCAATACTTACTGATAGATGTACAAGCTCCTCCCACAGCTCCAATTTCTGTATTCTGTGACAATCAATCAGTCATTTACTTGGCTCATAATCCAACATTTTATGAGCGCACAAAACATATGAAGATTGATTATCATGTCATTCGAGAGATGATCAACTCTGGCCTTTTTTATTTACTTCTCGTTCTTTCTTTTGCTCATTTGGCTGATATGTTCACTAAAGCCTTTCATCCAAAAAATATTGACACAGTGTGTTACCAAGCTGAGACTTTTAGATATACATAGTTCAACTTGAGCGAGGTATTACTAATTAATAATCATCTTTGATTGAATTTTTTTTATATGTAGTTATTCATTTACAGGATGTTATAGGATAGTCATTTAGAGTGGCACACATCCTTTGATTCACTCAAGTTAGTTATTCCTCAATCCTATAGACAATATTTATGGATGATATAATTTAGTAAATTGATAAATGATATAATTTTTAAGAAAAAATTATTATTTAATGATTGTTAGTATGTAATTTTGAATACATGTTAAAATATTATTATAAAAAAATAAAATATTTATTTTTAAATATATTAATTGTTATTTTTTATATTTTTATGATATTTGTATTCATAAATCACTCATCCGTTAATACTATTCTGATACTCTTTTGCATAAAAAAATTAATTTATTAAAACTAAAAAAGGAAGTAATGTGTCAAAATTTTATAATATATTTTAATTTTTTAATAATAAATGGTCAAAATAATAACAGATATATTAAATGAATGAATATATTTACTTATATTTTATTAACAAAAATTACAAAATAAATAGAAATATAAAATAAATATAATAATTAATACGTTTAAAAATTAGTCTACAGTAGTTGTTGTTTCTTATAAAATAAGTCACTAATTTAATTATTGAATACTGTAACATTTCTTGAATATAATATTAACAAATTTTTCTAACATATAGCATTGGCTGTTATAAGAAATTATAGTATTTAATAATTAAAATATAGTATTTAATATTATTAATATATTAAATTATATTAAAAATTATAATTTTGAAGATGAATTTTATTCCAAGTTAAAAAATTTCAATTGTGAATTTATATAATATAAATTGTTTTATTAATTTAAATGAAATAAAAATTTATTTAATAAAAACATAAAAAAATATCAAGAAGATAATAAAGAAGAAACAGCAAAACTTTTTACTTAAAAACACTGGTAGAATTTTATATATGAATAGACACAAACAAACCGAACGAGTCCAAAAAAATTAGCTTAAAAAATTTTCGATCATTAATTAGGACAAAAGTAACATTATTGAGTGGGCAAAATGAAAATACAGAGAACCTTTGGAGTAGCAAATTAAACATGGTTTACAGCAAACAGCATGCAATCAATCAGAAAGACGAAACGCCACAAAAGGACATCATGGTTTGGTAGATCAAACCAATAAGCTTGACAAGAAAACAATACTATATATATATATATGCAACATAAATTAAATTGTTCTTCCCTTTGTAGTCATGCAGAGAGTTCTTTAATCTGCTACCATGTCTTATCTTTTGGCTATATATATATATATACGCGTTGCTTGAGGAATTGTACAAAACCCAAATGTGCAATGGAATCGAACAATTTACGTGGCTAGCATGGGATATATGGCAAATTCTTTGTGGGGACTCCATTGACTTTGCAAAGCATGGAAAGTACATAATTCCAAAATTCCTAAACTCAAACCAACAAGTTTTATATAGGGAAATTGAACTGCCTGCTTTCTCAATGGGGTCTCCTCCATGTTCAATAAGAAATCATGCAGAGTAGTATACTGTGCACACATTCCATTATCCACGTACATTTTTTAATTAATTAAATTTCAAAAAATAATTGATCTGTAAAATAAATACTTTGAATTTTTTAAAATTAAATAATAATAAAAATTATACTCCTGAGAATACGTTATTAATATTTTTGGTCAAGTAATATAAACATAATATTATTTCTTTCTGTTGGTTCACCCAACCACTGTATCATCCTTCTCTAAGCAAATATCTTCGTAACTTCACGTATTCATCTTTATCTTCTCTGTGTCACTATATTAGTTCTGTTGTATAGCACACTCACATCACAAGATTTCTATAATCTCTATGACATTTATTAACTCATTTCTTTTTCTTATATTTCCCATGCTCTTTTTCCTGAACCCCCAGTTTGACTTTCTCAGCATTAATTCAGCTTATCTTATCTACCTTCAATGACAATAGTCAATGCCTTAATGGCAAATATTGCTATTGACTGACACAGTTGCAGTCTCTTTTATTAGTCATTGATATGCTTTGTCAAGCTATACGCAGCTGATACCAACTCATCTCCACTAATGCATGCCATGCCACCATGCATGATGAACTTATCAATATGCTTACACATACACACTTCTATAGAACCATTCACATGAATGATGATGAATCCTTTTCTTCTCAATATCAAAAACAACCACCACCGCTTCCCAACCTACACCTAACACCATAAATTTGCAGTTGTCTTCATCCGTATCTCCGTATTAAGAAGAACAAATTTGCAACCAAACAATTGAACCTTGTAACTACGAGGATGAAGATTTCAACACTTGGATTTGTTTTTCTTTTTTGCTTACTACATCTAGTCCTTTGCCATGGTAACTTAGACAGTGAGGGCACTATGAGAGTGCTTTTGGAGGTGAAATCGTCGTTTTCTGAAGACCCAGAAAATGTTTTGAGTGATTGGTCAGAGAACAACACAGATTACTGTAGTTGGAGAGGTGTGTCATGTGATGATGACTCGGAGCAAGTGGTGGGACTCAATCTGTCCGAGTCATCACTCAGTGGGTCAATATCATCTTCACTCGGTCGTTTGCAAAACCTGCTCCACCTCGATCTCTCTTCTAACCGCCTCAAGGGTCCCATTCCAACTACCCTTTCCAACCTCACTTCATTGGAATCGCTGATTCTTCACTCTAACCAACTCACAGGTCACATTCCCACCGAGTTAGCCTCGTTACTGAGTCTCCGAGCTTTGCGAATCGGTGACAACGGACTCAGTGGAACAATTCCCGCCTCACTTGGGAATCTGATCAACCTTGTCTACCTTGGTTTAGCCTCATGCAGACTCACCGGTCCGATTCCACCTCAACTCGGTCGACTCAGTGAGTTGGACAATCTGATCCTGCAGAAAAACGAGTTGACTGGTCCGATTCCGCCCGAGTTGGGGAACTGCTCAAGCCTCACCATCTTCACTGCTGCCGAAAACAAACTCAATGACTCGATTCCGAGTGAACTGGGTCAACTCAGGAAACTGCGTGTTCTCAACCTTGCCAACAACAGCTTAACAGGGGAGATTCCGAGTCAACTCGGTCAAATGAGTGAGCTCAAATATCTAAATTTCGTAGAGAACAAGCTTGAGGGTAACATCCCAATGTCTTTAGCTCAACTGGGTAACCTTCAAACTCTTGACTTGTCCATGAACATGCTCAGTGGGGTGATTCCAGAGGAGTTAGGCAAATTGGGTCAGCTACAATTCATGGTTCTTTCTGGTAATAAACTCAGTGGGACCATTCCAAGAACCATATGTTCCAATGCAACAAGTTTGGTGTTCTTATCGTTTTCAGGGAATGGACTTAATGGTGAGATACCAGCTGAATTGGGTCAGTGCCAATCACTGAAACAACTTGATCTGTCCAACAATTTTCTCAATGGATCAATACCTACTGAGGTTTATGACTTGTTGGGTTTATCTTTTCTTTTGCTTCACAACAATAGCTTGCTTGGTTCAATCTCTCCCTCCATAGGGAACCTCACTAAATTGCAGACACTTGCATTGTATCACAACAAGTTGATTGGTGCTCTCCCTAGAGAGATTGGGATGCTTGGGAAGTTGGAAATGATGTATCTTTATGATAATGAGTTATCAGGGAAGATTCCTTTGGAGATTGGTAACTGTTCAAGCTTGCAAAAGGTTGATTTCTTTGGGAACCACTTCAGTGGGGGAATTCCCAGCACTATTGGGAGGTTGAAGGATTTGAATTTCTTGCATATTAGGCAGAATGAGCTTGGTGGTGAGATTCCAGCCACACTTGGTAACTGTCATATGCTTGAGGTGCTGGATATGGCAGACAATAACCTCTCAGGTGGCATTCCTGCAACTTTTGGGTTCCTTAGAAAGTTGAAGCAGTTCATGCTTTACAACAATTCTCTTGAAGGTAGTATTCCTCACCAAATGATAAATGTGGCAAACTTGACAAGAGTGAATCTTTCAAAGAATAGGCTGAATGGTAGTTTGGCTGCATTGTGTAGCTCTTGGAAGTTTCTTTCTTTTGATGTTACTGATAATGAATTTGACAGTGAAATACCCTTTCTCCTGGGGAATTCACCTTATCTTGAGAGGCTAAGATTGGGTAACAACAAATTTTCTGGTGAAATTCCAAGGACATTGGGAAAAATCACTGAGTTGTCATTGTTAGACCTCTCTGGGAATTCACTTACAGGACCAATACCAGATGAGCTATCTTTGTGTCATAATCTGGCCTCCATTGATTTGAACAATAACTTTCTGTCCGCACACATGCCATCATGGCTTGGAAGTTTGCCTCAGTTGGGAGAGCTTAAGCTCTCCTTCAATCAATTTTCTGGGTCTATTCCACTAGCCCTATTCAAATTACCAAGGTTGCTGGTTCTTTCCTTGAATAACAATTATCTTAATGGAAGTCTCCCAGGTGATATTGGTGATCTTGCATCCCTTAATGTCCTCAGTCTTCACAATAACAATTTCTCTGGACCAATCCCTCATGCACTAGGTAAGTTAAGCAATCTTTATGAACTCCAGTTATCCAATAATAGCTTTAATGGTGAGATACCAACTGAAATTGGAAATCTCCAAAATCTCCAAAGCATTTTAGACCTCAGTTACAATAATCTCTCTGGTGATATCCCACCTTCACTTGGCATGCTATCAAAATTGGAAGCACTTAATATCTCTCATAATCAACTCACTGGAGAAGTCCCTTTAGTAGTTGGTGAAATGATGAGCTTGGAGAGGCTTAATATCTCATACAATAACCTTCAAGGTGCATTGGATAAGAAGTTCTCCCGCTGGCCACAAGAGGCATTTGAAGGGAACATTCATCTTTGTGGAGCCTCTCTTGGGAGCTGCAAGCATCGCGGTACTTCCCACAAGAAGCTATCAGGCTTAAGTGACACAGCAGTGGTCATAGTCTCTGCCATTTCAACTTTAGCTGCAATTGCACTTCTAGTACTTGCAGTGAGCATCTTCTTGAAAAACAAGCTAGAACTTTCCAGGAAAGGCAATGAAGTGAATTGTGTTTTGTCCTCCTCTTCAACACAAGCACGGCGATCATTGTTCCCTCTAACTTCTCCTGGAAAGAGAGATTTCAGGTGGGAAGATATCATGGATGCCACAAACAATCTAAGTGATGAGTTCATAATTGGTTGTGGAGGTTCTGGAACAGTCTATAGAGTTGAATTCCCCACTGGAGAGATTGTGGCTGTGAAGAGGATTTCATGGAAAGATGATTATTTGTTAAACAAAAGTTTTATAAGAGAAGTTAAGACTTTGGGGAGGATCAAGCATAGGCATCTGGTGAAACTGATAGGTTGTTTTAGCAATAGAAACAAGGGAACTGGTTGGAATCTGTTGGTATATGAGTATATGGAGAATGGGAGTGTATGGGATTGGCTACATGGAAAACCCCTCAAGCCAGGTAAAGCAAATGGGTGCCTTGATTGGGATACAAGGTTCAAAATTGCTGTGGGATTGGCTCATGGAGTGGCGTACCTCCATCATGATTGTGTGCCAAAGATCATTCACAGGGATATCAAATCCAGTAACATTTTACTAGATTCCAAAATGGAGGCACACTTGGGAGATTTTGGACTGGCAAAACCACTCATTGAGAATCAGGACTCTAATACAGAGTCCAATTCTTGTTTTGCTGGGTCTTATGGTTACATAGCCCCAGGTAATGATTGATCATACTCCTGACTTGAATTATTATTTTTCTCAGTTTTTCTTTTTTGGTCTAACTGTTGACAATTGAATTAAAATTTGCTTGTATTTAGAGTATGCATACTCAATGAAGGCAACAGAGAAAAGTGATGTTTACAGCATGGGAATTGTGCTTATAGAACTTGCTAGTGGTAAGATGCCAACAGATGCAGCTTTTAGAGCAGAAATGGACATGGTGAGGTGGGTGGAGATGCTCATTGATATGCCAGACACTGCATGTGAGGAGTTGATAGATCCTGAGCTGAAACCCCTTTTGCCTGGTGAAGAGTTTGCTGCTTTCCAAGTGCTTGAGATAGCCATACAGTGCACAAAAACTGCACCACAGGAGAGGCCATCATCACGCCAAGTATGTGATCTTCTACTGCATGTAGCCAACAAGAAGAAGCTGGACTTTGAGAAGCTGAATTTGGATCATTACTAGTTATTTTATTTCCAATAGATTGAAGATAAAGGAAGGCATGTTGTATGTGCTTGATTTCATTTGAGAAATTTTAGCAATTCAACAAGCACGTTTTAATTAAACATACTCCAATGTTGAGATTTATAAAGAGAAATATTAATATATATAATGGTGACTTGAAAATGTAAATTTTCCTTTTTATCAGATTAGTATTTTATGTTTTGCATCCTTTTAACATTTTTTTTTATGCCGAAGACTCTTGGCTATATTTAAATTATTGTCAACCTCCAATGGGGGATTGGGAGGTAAGTTGATTGCTTCAGTTAGGCTGCCTTTTCTTTTCTTTTTTCTTTTTTCTTTTCCCACTTTATAAGAAAATGACTAGTTAAAACAACTGCATTAATTTGCTAAGAGATTGTTTGCGTAAGAAATTTGGAGGTAGGGGGAGAATTTTTATTTATTTTAAATAAATATATTTTAATTTAATAATTTTGTAAAATAAAAGATATAAAATAATATATTAATATAAATATAATGTATTAATAATTTATTTACGAGGACTATGTTATTTACTCCCTAAAATGATAGATATTTGACTATTTAATTCAAACTTATTTTAAAATATTATACCTTAAAATTATAGACATTTGTTTATTTAGTTTTTAAAGTTATGAAAGTATTATTTTAGTCTTTAAAATTATATGTATCTATTAATTTAGTCTCTAAAATTATGAAATGAAATTTTTTATCTTAAAATCATCATAAATAAACTATTTTTGTTTCTAAATTTATAGGAACCCTCAGTTTAGTCTGTGAAAATAGAACATAATTTTCAATTCTTGAAATTCTAATAAAAACTTGTTACTTCCATTAATTTTCTATAAAATTTATCCAACAAAGTATTAGAAACAATAAGACATCATGCTTATATGACTACCTATCTTATTAAATAACATTATTTTATTTTATGAAAAAAATAGGAAAAAGATGTGTTGCTAGCAAGATTATTGCCTTTTCTTTCGCTTCAACTTTATTTTAAAAATATAAGTTTAAAAACTCTTACACTCAATATAAATGTTTCATTTAATTTACATCTAACGATTAATAAAATAATAAATTATAATCTATTAAATATAAGTTAAATAAAAGACTTAAATCAAATATAAAAATTAAATTTATACTAATATATATATATATATATATTACTTTCCAAAATGTTGCAGCTTTATGACATACATGAATCATATTGACACCTACCTTACAGTTCATTTTATGGTAATAAGATGATATTTTATATTTTACTTTATTTAATATTTATCCTATGGGCTAATTTTAATTTTTTTTAATTTAAATTTTATTTTATGAAAAGAATTTAGTTATAAACAAGATAATATAATTAGTTAGATTAATATATCAAATGTAAAATAAAATAAAAATATTTTTATTTTTATTTAATTTTTTATCTTATCTTATAACGAGCTCTTAATATATCACATTAAATATGTTGTTAAAAGAATTTAATAAAAATTAATGAGAAAGATTAAAATGATTAATTTTTAATATTTTTTTATAATTTTAGAAATTAAATTGATAAATATTTATAATTTTAGAGATTAAAATGATTAATTCATAAAAATTTTAAAAATTAAAAGTTTATTTCTAAATATAAAAGATTAAAATAAATAATTTTTCTATAATTTTAAATACTAGATTGATAAAAATTTATAATTTAAACAAAATAATATATAATTCTTTATTTATTGTCAAAGATGATATATAATTTTATTAATTCAAAATAAAAATTTATTTTCTCTCTCTTTCGAAAACTCTCCTTGAATAATCCCTAACACTTTTATTTGAGAGTTTAATAAGAAAGAAAAAATAAGTATCTAAAGAATATATATAAAAAGAAATTTTAAATTCTTTTTTTATTTAAATGTCAAACTCACCTCTTTTTTATTAAAAAAATTCAAAGAATATTTCAGTGCACATCTAAATTTTTTTAAATTTTTTAAAAAAATTTAAATAAAAAAAAATTCTTTCTTATTTAGATGTTAACCATTTCTAAAATTAGAAAAACTAAAAAAATAAACCAAAAAAGTTTTGGATTACATTTAAACACTTTTAAGCCTTTTTTGTTTACTTTAAAAAAAATTCAAATAAAAAATTTCTGTTAAAATCCTTTTCCCCCCCTAATTTTAGCCTGGAAACAGAGCCTAAAATGTTATTTTTGTTTCAACCATCCCAGTCCTTTGAAGAAGAAAGCTCAAACTTCATCTTATCAAAGTCTAACGAAATTTAAAAACATTAAATAACTCTTGAAACAAAGTTTCAATATAATTATATTCGTAGTCGTAGAAACGCTTGTATATAGGTCGATTCTTCAATCAACTACTTTTTTTAGTATTTACAATTATTATATTGACTTAAATGCATTCTTTAGACATTATTCACATTATTTATCAATTAAAATTAAATTTTTATTTTAATATTTTTTAATAATAGTAAATATATATTTTTATTGAAATAAAGCTATAATTTTATTTACTAAACAGTATACAAATAACAATATATAAATTTTGTCCCTATTGTATATTATCGATTATAAATAATATTATAGTTAATAATCGACTAAGCTTTTACGTACGGTAAAGTTATGATTTTTGAGACTAAATTCATTAGTATTTATAATTTTAAGAATTAATTTGATATATTACTAAAAAAATTCATAAACTTTTTAATCTAGCTCCTTTAAGTAAAGAGAATATATCTGAAACATAAATTACATTTAAAAGTAATATATATCATTTAAAATATTATTATAGTTTGTGAGTAATATTATTGTTAAGAGTTAATGTCAATAATTGCTTAAAAACATTAACACCTAAAATTATAGGGAAAAATTAGTAATTTGATTATTTAATTTTTTTTTTAGTTTTAAATTTGTATTTTTTAAAAATTTAGTAGTCTAACTTTTACTTTTATCTTAAGTTAGTTTGTTTTTATCTCAACTTAGCGACTTAGTTAGAATGTTGTTAAGGCTCGTCAAAAATTACATTTTTGAATTAGATAATTTTGATCCATCTAATTCTGTGTACATGGTATGAAATGCAACAAAATTTTATAACTAAGTTGGCACGTAAATAATGAGTAAAAGTTTCAAAAAGTTGTGTTCAAGTTAAAATATAGAGATTTAATTATTAAAGCAAAAATGGGTCTTCAAAAAATGATTCAATTTAATCAATTTAAAAATACAAAAAAATGATATGTTGATCAAAACTTAGCATTTAAAAGAATTCTTCAATCAGTTTCAATGATCATTTAATGAAAAAGAAATAATTTTTTTTTCAAAATTAGACTTTGATGAAAATGATTACTAAATTTATGCTTCAATTTCTATTTTAACCAATAAAATGACCAAAATTTTTAATATATTGATCAAAATATAGTGTTTAGGGACCTCTTCAAATAATTTTAATAAAATCTTTGAAAAAAATTATAATGTCTGACAAGATTCTAATGGATTTAATCATATTATAATAAAATGAATAACTTGAAATGAAAATAAAAAAGTGAAGGTTAAATTGAAAAAAAAAAAAAGAAGATAAAATTGAAACGTAAAATAAAGGTAGAAAATAAAAATACTTATTTTTCAAAAAATAAAATAAAAAAACTATTAAAATTTCAACTATTCATTTTTTTAATCAATGATTACAATTTATTTTATCTTGAAATATCACCTTCTTAGTTCTTATTTAAAAGAGGTTAATTTTATATTTATGACTGGATATTCCCACATACACAGTAATTGGGTAAAACTTTCTTCAACCTAATGACTGCAAAGTTCAAAATTTTGAAACTGTTAAATTTATGTTTATATAGAGCGAACTTTCATTGCAACTAATTAATGTTGTCAAATGATATTAACTATATAAAATTAGTTTATGTTATTTACAAAATCTACAAATTATTTTTTTTCTACAACATGGCATACCCTAGCAATTACTTTTAATTAATGTAAATTCAAATTCAAATCGTTGAACAATTAAAACTTACACATATAAATCAAAGAAGCTACAAATTAATGTTCAAATTATTGCGCTATTGAATCATACACGTAAATATTAAAACTTACACATATCAATCAAAGCAGCTACAAATTCAAATTCAAAATCAAAATCATCACAGAATCGATCCTTACCTGAAATCTAAATTAAATTATTATTTCATAATTAAATGTTTATCATGATATTTCAAATGTCACGTGACTGTATTAAATTCTCTTTTTAAATATAAAATATAGGTATTTGTATCTTTCCTGTTCATAATATACTCTATGGCTTGATTTTGCAGTAAATACGATTTCTATGTAACGGTTATATGCTAGATTTTATTTTATTTTTTTCTAATTCAAAATTAAAATTTGACATTTTAGCAACTTTTTAGCTTTAAAAGAAGTAGAATAAATGTTCATTAATATTCATTTTATGAATCACCGCTACAAAAACTGGAAAACGAAACTTTTATTTGTAGAAAATATATATTATACATAGTTCAGTAACATTTTTCTTAAGTTCAAGTTTTTTTTTTATATAATTTTCTTTTGTTTTCAAAGACTTTTACTAGAAACACTGAAATAACATTTTTTTTATTTTTACTATTTTATGTATAAATTTATAAAAAATGAAAAATAGACTAAAAAAATTATAGTAATTTTGTAATTAAAAATGAAAATAAAATATATTTTTAAAAATCAAACAGGTCTTTAGTAACTCAATTATAATTAAATTAACAAAATACTAAACAACATGTATAGTTGATAACGTGACAAAAATAATATTATATATAATATAATATATATTTTTTATTTTATTTTAATTCTTAAAATTGTTATCCATCATATATTTTAATCTTTAAGATTGTTATTGAATTAAACATTGTAATCTTTTATTCTTAAAATATTTAATTTACTTATATTTCTTTTTCTTTATTCTTTCATTACTAAAAATTAGTTTAACAGACTTTCATCTACATCCTTTACTGATGTTAAAATCACTCCATTATTTCTTTTTCAATTTAATCAAATCTAAATTTCTCAATTGAGTCAACTTCTCTAAATTTATCATTCACTCACTCACTCACTTTTTTTTCCTCCAAAGAAACACACCTTTTGTAATGAATCAAACATTCTAATGTTGTATATTACATTTAACACCACATGATTCATAGGATGAAATATAATATTCTCGTCTTTTTCACCATTTAAATATACTATTATCTTATCAAAATGACATATCTTATAAATATTTTTATGAAGCATTAATATTTTTTTATATAACTTTGCAATCAAGGTGTACTTGATGTTTAACATTTCTAACCTTTACAAATTTCTAATAGACTTTGGAAGCTCTGAGATTTTAGTATTTCTCAAACACAAATACCTTAAGAGGAGCAATATGTAAATGTTTTTAGGAAATGCATTTAAAGGAGTTCTTTTTAAATCAAACACACTATATAACTTGTTAAACTTGAAGTCAACATCGGATGATAAGAAAATATCATTTGTCTTTGTCTTTACCTTATCATAAAAATATTAAAAAATATTAATAGTAGACTAATGACATCAACTTGGTCGTTGCAAAAAAACACAAATGGTGACCAATGATAGTATTTTCTAGTGATAACAAATGAAGAAGAATAAGAATAATAAGTAAATAAAATATTTTAAAAATTAAGGACTAAAACATTAGTAACAATTGTAGAGATCAAAATATTAGACAAATAACAATCTCAAAGATTAAATGAAATAAGAACACATCATAATATATATGATGTTATTTTTATTATGTAATTAATCATACATATTATATAAAGTGATATGTTATGTCATGTAAAATATTTTATGTTTATTAAAAAAAGGGAATTTAATTCTATTAGATTTTATTTTATATTACATTATCACGATTGTATCATGAAAAATTCAAACTAAATATAAGAGAAGAAAACTTAAGTGATGCCTTTTTAGTCTTCTCAGTTCAGGTTGAAGTTTCATCTCCGTCTTAAAACAAAGTTCTAATTTTAATTAATAAATAATATAAACGGTATCTAATTTTTAAGGAAATTCCAAATTCCTAACTTCAGTTTCTAAGATATTTTTCAAGTAAATAAGAAAATGTTTTGTTTGTGATAATTAAAAGAAAAACTAAGTGATACGAATTCGAATTTTGTCCCACAAAAGGTGCCATAAAAGGATGGTGGCACCAAAATATAAAAACAATCTAATAGTAAAAGGGAAATACAAAACCATTTAACGGTTCACAGAAACAGTTGGTAAAAAGAAAGTGAACCCATTTCTTTGATAATTACAACCTAAAGGTAGAGGAAAGTGGAAAGAATCCCAAATTGTGTAGAAAACAGTGAATCTAGAAATGAAAGATAAAAAACGGTGACAACTAAACACCCCACTACTGGTCAACATAATTTGGTCAACATAATGTTAAAGGAGATGGTGATATAATAATGTAGAGGAAGAGGATGACGCTCTCTTTGCTGTATTTTCTCTTTCTCTTTCTCTTTACTCAACGACCCCACAATCTCAACGGTTCAAACTCAACGTCTCACTCACTAAATCTCATTCGCACTGTTTTATTTATATAAACACTCATCACATTCTAAGCTTTGGTAAGCTTCGCGTGTTGCACCCTTCTAAGAACCTCACACCTTTGTTCCTTTCTTTCGACAACAAAAGCGCTTCTTCCAATTTTAGGCACAGCCCAATCTTCCAATTTAACCAACAAGGACGAGGAAACAAAACAAACAACGTTAATTCTTTTTTGTTGTCACAACCGTTACACAAGACGTCTAAATATAGGCGACGAAAACGGGCATGGGTTAATTATGATTTGAAGAGCATTTATAGCCATAAACTGCTCCTTCCTTTTAGTGTAAGAACGATCGTTTCTCCTTCATCTTCTCGTCCTCTGCTTTACACTGTTCTGTTTTTTCTTTTTTCTTTTTTCCTTGCGTTTGAGCAAAGAGTTCTACGGTGAAGAGTTTCGTGACTTTGTAATGTCTCAGAATTCTCCACCCCTTTCCCTGAAATGGGTTGCTATGCTTTCAGGTTTATATAAAACCTCGTGAAGGTTTGAACAAACCGAGAGAAGAACTAGAAGCAGACAAAGCAGAACAAAATGGCATCTTCCCAAGTTGTTGAAATGGCTTCTTCTTCGCCCTTTGGTTGCGTTCTGAGGGACCGTAATCACCGCGATGGATGCAGGGAAAGCAACGTGAAGGCCACGCATGCCGCATTCCAAAGGAACATCAAGAACTTTGTGATGGACCACATTAACACGTGCATGTCCATGTCTTCTGACTCAACAAACGAGAACACCAACAATACTCACATGAACAACAATGGTTCATGGGTTTCAAAGGCTCGTAAAAACCGCAATCTCCATAGGCTTCATTTCAATAGAACCAACCATGACATCAACAATGACAAGGATGAAACCTCGTTGGCTTCATTGATTAGCCCCAGACACTCGCGCCTTCTTGATCGATGGGCTGCAAGACAAGCTCGTGAAATGGTGTCAACATTGGAGAATGAGGCTGAGTTATTGTCCATGAACAATAATAACAATCACAACAACAATAACGGTGACATGTTCACAAGGACTTGCAATAGTTCTAGCTCTGATGAGCCCTCCTCAGAAATCTCAAACCTTGGTGCATCTTCCCTTGTTCAGATATGGGAGAAGAGGCTTAACCAATGCAATGGCTCTAAACCAATAGAGAGGATTAGTCCCAATGCTGCAAGTGCTTCTAGCAACAATGAGAATGCGTCCTCTGTGGAGGAACAATGCATTGATGGGCCACCGGTGAATGAAGAATCTTTCCCTGATTGGGAATCTGATAAGACTGGACACAGTGATCAATCTGTTTCGCCACGTGGCAGGTCATGCTCTCCGGAGAGTGACAGGGTCAGTGTTGCTGACATAATCAAAAAGCTCACTGCTACAAACCATAATCAGAGTCCAACACCTTCTTTTGGTGATGACAATGAGAATGAAGTGTGTGGTGGTAGCAGCAGTGTCACAGGTTCTCCTTGTAGAGAGCGAGAATTTGGTGGCTTCACACAAGAGCAGTTAGAACATAAAGCTTTTCCTCAGATGGTTACTTCTTCTCTTCGAATTCGAGGTCGCCGGGCGTATAATGATTTGCTTATGCAGTTGGAGCATGACCGTTATGGGGAGCTCAAGAACCTGGCAGAACGTGGATCAGTCTCCAAGTTCACACACAGAGGTCGCATTCAGGTAAAAATGAAAACAAAGGGGTGGTTACTCTTTGTTTGTTATTAATGACAATGTTATGCCCGAGTTTCTTAAACAAGTTCTGATTGTAATTTGCTTTGTATGCATAAATGCAGTCAGTGCTTCGACTTAGATTGTTACAGCGTGGTGCGGCAGCTAATGATCCACCCAGCCAGAAATCAACAGCATCTGAAGTCAACAGACAACAACAGGGATCAGCAATTATGCAATTAAGGTTTGATAATTTCCACTCAAAAGTCAAGTTTCTTACTCCTTTCGTGATCGATACTCATACTTTGAATGAACTCTTGTTTTAGAAAGATATTTAATGACTTCTCTGGTAGTCAAGACATATCCACACCAAATGCCTTGCCGAAAAAAATTTGTTGAATTTCATATCATGGTAGTGGCAAGATGCATTAAAAGAGTATAATTATAAATGTCTGAATATACTTACTCATGGACTATTTATTTGTCTGAATTCCAAAACTTATAATTTCATTCCATAAAGCCAGATTTAGGCTGGATAACATGAGAATTGAGAAGGGTGTAAATGCACATTTGGATCAAGCATTTCCTTTTATATGCACCGGTTCTTATTATAAATGTCACCAAGATGGAAACTCGTAAATAAACAATTTCTGCTATTTTGGCCCTTAAACCCATCAGCAGTTATCATCCTTGTGAAATCTAAATTTAGGTTTTTCATAACATGAACACAGCAAGGTTCATCATATTTAAGTTCTCCTGTAGGATATTAAATGACAAATGCTTTTATAAAATGCAGGGAAAGGTTTAATATTGGGGTTGAACTTAGAACTACAGTCCAGGGAGAAGTGGCTAGCCCAAGAAATCCTCATAGGGAGATAGTGAACAACAACACACAATTGGCTAACTTTCCCTCCACTGATCAACTCAGCAAAGACACAAGCAGCCAGACTCCTCATGGAATTGCTAATCACTCTACAGAATCCACACAAAAGTCAGTGTCACACACTGCAGCATATCATAATAGAGAAAAAGCTCATCCAAGTTCAGATGTCATGTTCCAAGAAACAAGTTTTCAGGCTCAACATCATGAGCCCCAAGAAACCGCTGAGGCAACTACTCCCATGACTGATTCAAATCTAAATGAGACAGATGATAGGGTAGAGACAAGCAACAAACAGAATGATATGGCTAAAAGCAGTAATGAAGAGACAGTAAATGAGGAAGAGGCAAGTAACCGCCGGTATGCTGAAATAAGTTATGAGGAGACAGTAGAAGAAGAGGATGTAAGCAATCAGAACTATGCTGAAAGCAGTTATGATGAGATGGTTGAAGAGGTAGAGACCATTGACCAGAATTATGATGAAATCAATTATGACTGGATCAGTGAAATTTCTAGGCCTAGGAGCTATTGGGAAGAGCGCAGGCAAGCATGGTATAGAGAGATGCTTGACAATGATTCTCATAATGAGGATATACGGAAGCTTCTTGAAAGGTATGTATTTTTCTGTTAAATTCTTTCAACTATTTCCTTGTATGTTCCTTGAATATAATATTTACATAATGAATTATAACTCAAGAAAATGTTTTAATATGTTCACTGTTCTGAATACAAGTATATTATGCTTCCAGACAAACGGTGTCAAATTTCCTTTCTAGTGACTTCCGAGAAAGAATGGATAGATTGATGGAATCTCATAGGGGAACACAAACACATGTAGTCAATAGTTATGATAATCATGAGGAAGACAACCAAGGGTTGATAGTATTTTTACAAGAGCATTTGCATAATGCGAGAGCTCCTCAAGAAGATGGAAGAGAGAGCGGGGAGGAAGAAGAGGAGGTGAGGATAAATCAGGATGGGGAAGAGGAAGAAGATGAGGAGGCAGATGAGCAGGAGCATGAACATGAAGAGGAGCATGAGGGGGAGAGTTTGATAAGTGGTTCATATCATGAAGTTGGCAAATATTCTAATCAATCCTCATCGTGGAGTTTCGGGGACAATGAAGCCGGTGATGAAGATCTTGATAGAGATGCTTCTACATCCTCTCCTCAACCTTATCAATCTCAGCCATTCTATCAGGATAGTCGGCGATGCTCTTCGTCCACCAATCATCATTCTATTGTGAGTTTCTGTTTACGTTGATAAATATATCTGAGTACAAGACTCTTAATCTCTTACTGATTACAAAACTTCTGTGCTTACAGGAAATGGAACTCATTTATGATTTGAGAGGGCACATGGATCAACTTTATCATGAGATATCTGAGCTCAGGAAATCAATAAAGGGCTGCATGGATATGCAGATGCAATTACAAAAATCCATGAACCGGGAGGTTCACACAGGTTTGTGCTCATTTATAAGAATTTTTAATCATGTCAATCTGATTGTCATAGTGCAAAATAGGCAGTACACCATTTAAGAAGTTCAGGTTCTTCAATATTCTTAGAGAATTCCAGAACAAATGAAACAAGGTGCCCATATTACCACACTGGCGATGTCAGCTTGAATTTCTAACAACATTAATTTTCTGGATTAAATAAATAAACTCCTTACTCTTTCATGCATAAAATAGTTTAGTTTCTAAAAAGATTACTATGTTGAGTTGAAATGCAACCGTTGTGCAAGTTAAAAAAAGATGTCACTTCACCATAAGGAAAATCAAATAAATTTGTCTCATACAAAGTTTCCTCTTTGGTTCACTTCTCATGCAAGCGAATATGCCTTTAATTGCATACCAATTACAAATGTCTGTCTCAGTAACTTTAGTCATGCAATGTATTATATAAAACTCCATTACAGTTAAAAATGAAGAAAAGAAGCCCCATAACAAGGCTCCAAAGAAAGGCAACTGCTGTATTTGCTATGAGATGAAAGTTGACTCGCTTTTATACAGGTATTTTCTTCCGAATTCTTCCAAATTATTTATTTTCATTTTAAGAGCAAAGGAGCACTCATGTTATCACCAACTTCATTACAGGTGTGGACACATGTGTACGTGTCTGAAGTGTGCCAATGAGTTGCAATGGAACAGTGGAAAATGTCCTATTTGTCGAGCTAAAATAGTCGATGTTGTTCGAGTATATGTTGACGATTAGCCTGTCTCGGTGGACAGACTCTAGAGGACTATCTCCTAGTCCTGATACTTAGTGAATTGCTAAGACAACAATTTGACATTATATGTCATACGACTTTCTCCTTTTTACATATACTTTCCAAGTATATGATTTTTTCTGGGGGAGATTCGTATCACAGACTTCAGTGTAGATCTTGATAGTTATAAATGAAACTTTTTTTCCTGCTGATATATGTTCGGTATAATTGTATTACAAGGACTTAATAAAAACACAGACAAACTTAAACACACAAATATTTTTGGCAACATGTCGGCTTTGTGAGAAGTGGAATATGTTGCTTGAGGTAAAAAAAGGGGGAGAAATAAAAAAAAAATGTTACCAACATTAGTTTTTAACCTCAGGCAAATGGGGATGAAAAAGCCAATATAATTCCAGACTACTGTTTAATGACGTTTATATATATATATATATTATTCGGAATTTTTCATATATATAAACGCAATCTAATAGCAGTACACAGTTGAAAGAACAAGAAAAACAAGACAAAAGAAAAAAGTTGTGTAACATTACTTGTCAATAAAAGCATATGACTTTCCCTTTTCCACGTATTTCGTCTGCCCACCAGTTTAACCATATGACTGTGTTGCCTGTTGCGGGTAATCAAACATGCGTTGCTTGCTTCAGAGATGAACATGATTTACACCATTTACAACTATCATAAATGATTATCTGCCGTTTTATGAATGCTTGGTAGGGCAGAAAGTTAAAAAAGTGAAAAATGGTGTGGACGTGTGGTATAATTGACCTGTTATTTAAACATATAAATTTGATTGGTTCCCTCATTTTCATTACTTCAATTTATTTTATTTTATTTTCATTTTTACTCCAATTAAGTGGCAGTTTTTTCCTTTTTAATTTAAATAGCAATTAATGAATTGCAAGGTTATTCCAACGAAAGAAAGAAACATATTAATTCGTCTAGAAGAATGAAAAATCCTGAAAACTGCATACTTCATTGTAATGTAGGCTCCTCAAGTTTAGGATAAACAATCTAAGATAAATGGGTCGAGAAATATTGCTAAAAAAATTTAACGGACAAGAAAATTCATGTTAATTGGGGGGTTGGCCATGGAGATCAGAAAAACCTCTGCAATGATATCTGGGTCCAACCTCCAATAGACTCACGGTGTTAGTACACCTGTTACAAAGTCAAATATGTAAATGTAATTGACTCTATTAATTATCAATCAATTATTAATACCACCTCAATCTTACTCTTAGAACATGAGAATTTTGCTAATGTAATATATTTATAACATACTTCTGTGTTCGGTTGGGTATATTCAATTCGCCTTAATGAATCAAATTTACATGAAAACGTACATGAATCATCTTACAAGCTGGACAGTACCTCGAGGTGACCAAGGTACTAGCTACCTCATGCGAATATCCAATCAACTTAATCTTCTCCTATCTATACGATCAATTTAAGTTTTGTTTTTGGTCTGACTGTACAATCAATTTGACTCACGAATCTCACTCGATCCAGCCTTTTGCTTTCTGTCAATACTGGATCTAGTTAATGTAACTGATCAGATCAGCCACAGCAGAGCCCAATTTGATTTCCCAAATTCTATAAGACCTTCTCGTAACATAATGAACATATGTTGCCCAACAATGTGCCCATCCTATATACGCAATCATAAGAGGAGATGAATTGCTTACCTCCCTGAAAGATATCACTATTAACATTGCATATGGCCGAGCCAGGTGTATTCCGATGACCGCAAGGGTTACTAGGGAATCAGTAAGAAATTACCTTGGTGAATTAGTGGTTAAATATTTGCCATACGATACGATTGCTTATTGTAAATTTTTTGTTTCAAAGAAAGTCTAAAAGCTGCATGTACGGCACATGCAGCCAGCCCCTCACAGGCTTTGCTTGAAGACTACGTATAATCTCGTACAAAGGCTATTGAGTCCACACATAATTCATGCTACAACTACAAGAAAGAAAACTTAACAGTGGATAGACTTGCAGAGGATGGCCCGAATGTATACTGTTTTTTCAGCTTTACTCCCTCCTTGTCAGACATGGTTTGTCCACACAAAAGAAAGACATAGTAAATGACCATAAAAGAGGAGGACCCTATAACAAGGGACATAAATACCAGTACCATGCAAGATTGTGGATTCGCTTTGGGTAGGAAGCCTTTGTAGATACTTGGTGATGTACAACTAGGTCTTTTTTTCGGGTAAACAGCCGCTTCTTTTGTCAAACAAAAGGTCCAAGAAAATGCAATTGGAAAATATATCCCTTAAAGTGGTAAAAAAAATCAAGAGAGCTGCTGAAATCGGAATAGATAATTTTTTGGAACTCTAGAGTGCAAATCCATACTTGCACGGCCGAGTAAAACTTGTGCCAAGCATCACTCAAGAGTTCATTTTAGATTCTGGCAGCTCTATTACTGTATTAGGTTCCTTATTCTTCCATGTAAACCTGAACTGCAGTCTCAGCAATCATCACTCACTTTAATTTTTGACTTCCAAAACTTTCCTTGATCTCTGACTTTATAAAATATTATTAAATATCATTCACTTGAGTACATAATGCCAATGAAAAAGAATAGGTGAATGAAATTTTGCAACAATTTTATGAAAGAAAAAACTAAAATAAAAATTCTGTAAAGTCAAAAATTAAAGTAAATATTTACAATGTAAGAGACCAAAGTAGAAGTTTCTCCATTCCTATCATCATCTACCACATATATATGTAGCTCTACCCTGACCATAGGTGCCATTCATGATAAAAAATATGACAATGCTAACTCCAGCCGGTACCTGGCTAGTATATCAAACCACTAAAATGTAGCCACTTTAACAACAACTATCATACTGTTAATAATTTCTTAATATTTGAACAGGGAAAGAAGCTATTATCATTCTGTTCTTGTAGCCATTCATGAATTTGACTTCCCAAGTACAAATAGGGCAAATGCACTCAATGCTTATGTTTGTGTAACACAGAAGATTAGTGGCTGAGAACTGAGAAATAAAGAATACAAAATACAAAGGATAGGTAATCGTTCCAACCCAAATTAGTAAAACACAAAACAGAAACATACGGTAGATGCTAAAGCCTTCCCATCATTATAAGTCTACAGCAGAAAATAAACACCAGAAGAGTAGAACATCCCTATCAGTTTGAGCAATAGTCAACCTTAAAACAAGTGACTCAGTCCATACTCCAAACTAACACCAAAATGCAAGAAGTTCAGGTAAGATTTGTATGATAATATATGCTATTACAGCATATTTTCAGGACAACCATCAAAATTTATGGAGTTAAATATGCAGTGTCAAGAAAATACTTTCCTTGTTTGCACTACATAAAGCAACCAAAAATAAAAAGAAGCAAAAACTTACTCTTTTAAGAGGAGATGATTAAGGCAAGAATTGCAACCGGTTTTTGCACTACTTATATCAAATCTTCCAATCATAGAAATGGGTAATTGAAAAATCTTTCATTCTAACTCTTTCTGTCTTTCTCTTCTAAACTTTTGCATGTGGTGGAAATCAACCCAAATACAATTAGAGGACCCATCCAAAACAGGCAACACCAGTATTCCAAAGAAAAATAGTTATAGACCAAGAAGCCTGTGGCTTACGGTGATTCCAACTAAGATGTAGGTGGCAGGACATTTGGCTTCAGCATGTGCAGACAAGACAACAAAATTCTGGTTTTAAGACAAAAGTAAAAGAAAATGAAAAAAAAAATGCTGATAGAAGGGGAAAAACCCCTTTAAATAGATTAAGACAACACCAAGATGCTTCTTTGCCCCTCTCAAAACCAGCTTCACACAACCGGCATCATATCATCTCCACTAATTTTTCAATATCTAAATAAGTGCAGCTTCATGCTCATTGAGAATCTTAGATATTTACGGGAAACAAGCTTGCAGCAGAACCCCCTAAACTTCATATTTCAATAATCTAAGACCAGACCAGTTTTTTAGTCCTCAGTTCCACAATTCAATGCATTCAGCACATTATAGGAAATGATAACAATCCCAAATTTGTTGACATCAAATGTAATGCCTTTCATCTTGCAAATAATTATATGATATAACTCGCACTATGTGACATTATTTCCAGATATGCACCCCAAATTACAATTTAATACTTGTATGTAATCCACATCTGTAGTTTAATTAATAAAGAAGGAACTACCTGATGGTCATCTAGGTGTAAGCAACAAGCAAAGCAAGCAGCCCAAACTCCTGCACCAATGAAATTGGCCACTCCGCAAGGCACATTCAATCAGCAAAAGATCACGTGCGCAACACCTGGCAGGTACTAACACCTAAAAGGGTTTTGATAACAATACGAAAAGTCACACTGAACCAAATTCTGAAGCAGAAACTTATGTCTAAAACAAGATAAAAGCTTACTTAACCAACTCTTAACACGATGGTCATTGTCATTGGACTTCATTATACATCAAAATACAAGGCCCTTCCCCTACAGGGAAAAACAATAAAAGCAGAGAAACGGCATTGACCTTCATAATAACACTAATTATTAGATCAATGGCACAATTAACATTGACGATCTTATAATAAATGGTAAAGAAGCAAAAAAAAAAAAAAAAAAAGGAAAAGAAAAGAAGAGGCTGCATTTGCAACCTAATAATGCAATTAACCGTGTACAGAAGGGTGGAGGGAATCAAAACAAAACCCCACAAAAAAATAATAATAATAATTGTAATCTTACTTATACCACTAAATACAATAATCCTATACAGCAAAGAACAACTACAACAAAGGATCGAGAAGCACCAGCTTGAGACCGCACATCTTCGCGAAACCCCGGCGGCGACGAGAGGTGCGAGGGTTGGCCATCGAAACCCGGCGAATTCTCCGGCGGGAGCGCGTCATCATCCGGCGGAGGAGCACCATCGAGAGGCTTGGCAGACACAATAGGATTCCTGCCGAAGATCTCTCTGGGCAACAGAACCTTGGAGACGCCAAAAATGGCGACGGGATTCTGATCGAAAACCGTCTGCGTAACGGAGGCCTGAACGATGCCTGTGTTGATGGCGACGGAGCCGTTAACGCGGGAAATGTTGAGTGTGAAGCTGCCAGCGCCCATGGCCTCAGTGGCAAGCGTTGGTTGAAGAGGGTTAACCACGGATTCAAGAGAACCGAGAGGGTAATAGGAATGAAGCACGTGAAATTTAAGAACAACGGCTTTCTTATCGGCGGGAAGGGACTGAAGCGCGACGGAAGGAGGGAGATCGGCGAAGGCATCGTCGACGGGGACGAAGAGAGTAATTCCGGCGCCGCCTTCGTCCGCTTCGAATTCCTGCACTACGCCGGAGGCGGAGAGCATGGAGGCAGCGACGTTGAAGTTGTGGCCGTCGATTAGGGCTTTGGTGATGTTGAGGACGAGGTTAGGGCGAGTTTCGGAGGCCATGAGGTCGAAGCCGTAGGGAATGAGGAGAGAGTTGACGGAGAAGATGGTAATGTTGTATGGTAGGGTTTTGACGAGGGAAAGAAGAGTGGCGTTGGAAGGGGAATAGGGAGCGGGTGAGTGGATTGAAACGACGCCGGATTGGGGGTCGCGAGTGATGTTCACAGAGCCGAAGTCGTCGGTGGCGCGGCCGGTGGTTTGGAGGAGTGTGGTGACGAGTTTGCCGGAGGGAGGGAGGGAGCGGAGGTCGGACCATGACAGGAATTGGAGGAGGACGTGGTAGCGGAGGACATCAGCGAGGGCGGAGGGGGAGAGGTGGTGGCGGACGAGGTGGTCGTCGGAGGATAGGTAGGAGTTTGGGACGGCGAGGAGTGAGAGGGAGGAGCGGTGGGAGAGATCGGCGGCGAGTGGCGTCGCGGAGGAGAGTAGGGCGGTGAATTGGGAGAGGTCTGGGAAGGTGGAGAGGAGCGCGGTGAGGTTGAGATTCAGCGATAGTGTTGCTGGTGGGGTCAAGAGGAGTAAATAGAGTATTGTTCTGAGGGTAATATGGGGAATCATTGTTCCCCCCGATTCAGAATGGGAAGCCATTGTGGTTTCTCTTCTTCAATGGGATTGGATTTGGGGGGTTATGTGACAGATTTTGAGTGAGCGAAGTGTGAAGTGAAGTGAAATGAAGTAGTGAGATGAACGAGTGAGCATGCAAGCTGTGAATGATGAGATTAGCACCGTGGGGGTGATGCAATGATGATGTGGATTGTTAGTGTTTTAGTGTTTTCCATTATTCTCTTTTTTTTATCCCATATTCCGTCTTCTTCCCACTCAACTTGCTTTCCGCTCTCTCTAATATGTGTTCCTGGGAATTTATGACAACTACCCTTAAATATAATTACCTAATTCCACTCTCCTCTCAGATTATGCTATTTCACATTTATATGTCATGGCATGAAATTTATCATTCATACTGTAATTTGATAATATTCAATGACGATTTGTCTCTAATGAATTACTTACATTCTTCTATAAATAATAATGTAACAATTTATTAGCAGTTTATGATCAAACTTTTCGTCGTGTAAACATTTCTCGTCTATCGTTCATCATTCTAAGTAACTGCATGCATTCGTGCTAATTTAATTATTATAATGTCTTTTATAAGTACATTTTTTTTCTAAAGAAATAAAACTGTACTTTAGTAGTTATAAATATAATGGTTATTAAAAGATTAACAATTGAAGTTTTCAGGAAAATCACAGTTTATTATATATGTATTTGTATTTCATTAAAACTTTAATTGTTATTTTTTAATCAAACCTAAATTTTATCTTCCAATATATTATTTTATATTATAGGGATCAAATCTTACCGAAAAGAAATTAAATAAGACTTAACTACACTTTGATCTCTTTAATTTACATTATATATAATTTTAATATTTCAAGATATTTAAGCCTTTATTTTTTAAATTAAGCATATATTATTTTGTATACCTAAAAATTTTAAATTATTATTTTTTATTTAAATATTTAGAAATTTATCATAGATTTAGAGTTTAAAATAATTTCAAGATTTTCCACTATTTTATTTAGAAGGAATGAATTAGATTTACACAAATATAATATAACAATACTTTATTCTACATTTGAAGTGAACCGAATATTGACATGACGATAAGTTATAAATCATACACAAATAATGAAATTATATTAATTTTTAATGCAAAATTAGATATAATTTTATTTAAATTAAAACTGTGTAATAAATTTTATTTTTAATAGAAATATATAAATTTTATTAAAATTATATAAAATTATCAAATTTAATTTTGCTTATAACCAACATTGAAAACTAAAATAAAATTAACATAAAAATATTTTTTTAATTTGTTTCTTATTAATAAAACCTAATCTTTAAAGAAAATATAATAAAAACAAAATTATAAAAAATTCTGTTGAGTTAATGTAGCGTGTGTAAGATCCAAGATAACTTGTATGACTCTTCTTCAGCTCTCTTGCAGAAAGCTACGCTAAATGCGCCTCCAAAACAAGAAGCTCTCGGGAAACATTTTCTGGATATCACAGGCAACGAACATTCTCGAAGGATCAATGATAGAAAATGGAACATGCCATCGCTTCAAATGCCCCGTTTGGCTAAGAACAACAACTCCTGAGAAATACCAAACTCATATAGTTTATTCGCAGACAGAACCATGTATTCTAGCTGAATGAGAAGGTATATCCACAAACGATTTTAACCCTGCTTTATTTCTCATTCAGTTATTCCAAACAACGTGCACGCTTGTTCTTTATAGATTAAATTAATTGTTTGGTCCCGATCTTATACTATAATTAAGAATTTTGCACCTCTTTATTTGATTGTTCATTGTTCTCTATACAACTAATAAATGAAACCATGCACATGTTAATTGTTTATAGAAAACTTAGCATCACCCTAATTACTTATGTTAACTGTTGCCTAGTTTATATCTACTGCAGTTTAAGTGACAGTTTCTCTCTTCTTCAACAGTGGCGAAATCGCTTCTTCATTTTCGCTTGTTTGGCTGCAATGTTTCAAGCACAAAAATAGCTGCTATATGGGTGCATCTGTAACATGTCTCAGTAATAAGAGAAATTTTAGTAGTGATGATTGTTTACCAGTTATTAGAGAACCTAGTACAAGTAGAAATGCTCCTGATGACCGCTCTAGAAAATCGGGTTCACTCGGTGGCATGTTAAAATACAAATCCGCTGAAAATTATCCAGTCCTTCGAGCAAGCTGCCTTCAACACTGGTTTAAAAAATGGCAAACACTTAGGAGAAACAAATTGACAGCTAGCACTTTTGCTGCTGCAATTGGGTTTTGGCGTCGTCGAAGGGTTCAGCTGTGGTTAGAGAAGCTTGGTGCTATTGAACCGTTCTCTGGAAACCTTGCCACCTGTTGGAGCAATATCAAAGAGGGGGATGCACTTGAAAGATACAAACTGATTACTGGAAATACTGTGTTGTTTCCTGAATTTCAGGTCTATGATGCATACCCAGAAGATAACTGGCTGGCTGCTTCACCGGACGGTGTTATTGACAGGATGGTGTATGAGTTACCTTCTCGTGGAGTACTGGAGATAAAGTGTCCATACTTTGACGGGGACATAAGGAGAGCTTTCCCTTGGTCTCGAATTCCAATTCACTACATTCCTCAAGCTCAGGGTTTAATGGAGATTCTGGGAAGTGACTGGATGGATTTTTATGTTTGGACTCCTAATGGTAGTAGTCTATTCAGGTTGTATCGTGATCCAGAGTATTGGGATGTAATGAAAATAGCTTTATCGGATTTCTGGTGGAAGCATGTCCAGCCAGCAAGAGAGTTGTATCGTAGTAATGATGTAACAAATCCCCTTTTTCAATTAAGATCAGTGAGACCAGGTCGTAGACATGAATTGTGTACATATATAGCTTATAAAAGCAAACACATTGTTGATAATTCTAAGTTGTTGATGCGGGAGATACATGGGAAACTGCAAAATTGATGTCACCAACTGTTAGAGGAGCGTCATTGGAGCAGTAACAAATTCTTTATTATAGGTTCCATGATATTTGAGAGGTGAGTCTGTGTCAATATAGTTTATGAATAAATTGATTTAGCTGAAGAGGGATGACATTATGAAGTTGTTGTGTTGGTTTACAGATTTAAGGAGTTGATTGTTAGATGTGATTATTTGAAGCTGGAGAGTAGAGAGGGACAAACTTAACAGGTTATAAAACTTTACACAATTGAGAAATCTGGTACTGAGAAAGAGGAGGGTTTGACTACAATTATATCTCTTATTCTCTACAAAGAAAAATTGTTAATATCTTGCAGGCTATCTTCCTGCATTCATCAGTACATTAGTTCTGTTGGATCACTTTTCTGTTAACACAATAAAATGATCCGATACTTGAAGTGAGTAACATGTTCATAATAACAAATATGGATTTACATGCTATGAAGTCCAATTTGAGGATGCGGGACTCGTTTCTTTTTTATTCCTCTCTGGGGTTGCTTAAGACTAAGACTCTTTCTCTTCTCATTGTCTAAGTGACCCAGTTCCTTAGGCTTCAGCAAGGTAATTTTTTGTAGACCTACTGAACTTGAGTCATAGCTTCCATTGTAATATTTTATTTTGATTGACTGTTAGCTAGTTTGTTCTGTATTGCAATTTGCTAAGGATGCTATCTATGAATGTTTGGAAGGCACAGAGTTGTCTCTTATATACTAAACATGAAGTAGTAAATGTTTTCCCTCTTCTGGTGTGTTTGATATATAACCATTCTAGTGCCTTCATCCAACAGCTTAAACTTTTAGGAAGTGTTGGTTCATGGCATGGTGTTAGCCCTTCCAATATGCTTAATATTACCATAACAACAACATGGTTATTCACAAAGCGAACACTCAACCAAATGCTGATTATAATTGAGAATAAAATATCTTGCTGCTGACTGGGTTGTATATTTTTATTTTGCAAGCAGGCTTAATTGAACTTCTTTTGAAGTTTCAATTTCTATGAATAACTCTCTTTTAAGTTACTTTGTTACCCACTTCTGGTCAGCATTTATATGCTTGTCTGGACTTATGACAGATTCCTATGCTTATAGATTTTAAACCCTCATTACAAGTTAAGACATGAATACAAGATTGTGAACTTGCTTCGTACAAGTCTTTCTGCAAATATGAAGTCAATGGGTTCTTAGGCTTTGTGTCTAATACCTCTGATTTAATATATTTTCTCATAATTAAGTTATTCCTTAGAAGCTTTTGCAAAAGAAAACTCTCAGAAGTATCTGCGAAGTTATGATTCTAACATCTTTTATATATGACTGCTATAGTTATATCCTCGGCTGCAATGCTTGATGCATCTATAGGATCTTTAACTAATATTTTATTACGGGTAATCTTATAGATTGTCAGATATGGGGTGTCAATATGCTCGGTATGGCTTACAAGTTTGTTGTGTTTGTTTTTATCACTGTCTTAGTAATTTTCTTGTTGCCAATTGTAATTGTTGCGTTGCCAGTTTGCCATGTTTCAAATCTCAACCTTTTAATACTCAAGGTGGTCTCCAAGATTCCAACCATCCAACATGATGTTTAGAATATGAAGCTTAGGTATGTTTGTTTCACATGTGGTCAGATATTGTCACCAAATTTTTATCCAGGTAGTTAATTGTGTGATATAGCATGTCACATCACAGCAGGTGCCTGCTGCATGAAGTCACTCGTGTCACATTTTTGTGTCCTGCAATTCCCACCCATGATTGTAGTCAGTATCGTGGATCTAGATCACAGCCACTATGATGCACGGGGACAAAACCCTTCTTTGCCACTGATGTCTGAATTTTCCAACCCCTTTCGTTTTACATATTTTTGTGATTTCTCCTGTCTCTTTTCCAGAAGAATCACAACAGGGTATGAACCTCTTCTTCCTCATTTGACGCAAACAGAGTCAACGTCTGACCCCACTGCCCGCTGTGTTCTTAGTGATTTGCTCTCCGATGCATGTCCAGGTCTCTGTTCTTTCAAAACCTGCTGTTAGTACCACAATTTTGCTTTCATTTGCTCAGATGTGACCTTTCTAAGTTAAACATTGTAGCTATTTGGAATTTCTCCTCATTTAATGAATTTAATGATTACTTCAATTTGTATAACAGGACATTTGGGGTGATTTGATCAGTTCCTTGAGGTAAAATTGTAGACAAATCGTGCTCATTTTCCAATTCTGATTTTGTTTTCTTAAGGTGGCTAGTTGAAGGATTAACAAGTTAGAGATGGATATATAGGGTATAGAGAGATTTTAATTTCACTGCTATTTGCTGTAGAGAATACTAATTTAAGACGCTACTTGGAGATCTTCTTACCCTTCATTCAGGCTTTTAAGTGGTGTCCTTCGGTCACTTAAAATGCCATGAGATTGGAGAGACCATTCGAAGAAGAGATGAGAAGGGTTGTTTAGGATCTTGATACAAAGCACTATGCACTTTGTAATACTCAGGTTTCAGTATATCAATGAGGTGGTTGTGTATTGCATGTTTTAGTATTAAGTTTATTGCCTGCTGCAAATTAATACGGTTTGGTTGTAGAATGCTTATGATCAATCATTAGAACACAATAAAATATTGTGTTCAGTTCTACTTTACATGGATTTAAAGATGTCACTCATGCTGATAATTTGAGTTTTTAATTAATTCTAGGTGCTTCTTGCCTGTAAAGGAACACTTACTGAAGGAAGGTCTAGAAATCCTTATCTAAGGTGGTATTACTTTGGTTCAATTTATAAGAAATAATTACCAATAGTTTTTTTTTTGTCTAAAATATAAGAAATAGACTCATTTTCAAATGCATTAATTTTAATTTTTTTATATTTATTTATTGTAAGATTTATATTAATAAGGTACTCACCTTTTATATGGATAAGTAGACACATTTATTCATTTAATATATAAGATAACAATTAATATTATGTATATTTTTAGAATAGAGTAAGAAGTATGATAAATAATTTGTTAATCTTAATGAATTAGGTGCTTATTTTTTATAAATAAAATTGGACTTAATATTTATTTAAAAGGGAAAAACTTTTGATGTTTTGTTGAGAAAATGTGACAAGTAACACGTTGTGATAGCATTTTTTATGGTCATAATAAATTTTTAACTATTTGATCTTAAGCTATTTTTTATATATATTAAGACTCGTTGCAAGATATTTAAAGAATCACGGTTGCCTGCATTAGTTTTGCGGGAGACATTGTTAGCATCCCTCAACTTCATTTTATGGATAATATCTAAAATATATGCAAAACGATAAAATTGCATTCATGCATGCATGCATATATATATATAATTCAATATGGATTATTTGTTGATTTTCCTTAAAGCGAATCCCTTATACACACACAAGTAAGTGTTTTAGGTATTGCATGGGAAGAAAAAGAAAATTTTCAATATAAATAATTAATCTTGGGTTAATATAAAAAGATGTCCTTAACATAAATTGAAAGTTTAAAAATAATTGAAATTTAACATTTTTAAAAATACGTAAAATGTGTTCCATCAATAATAATACCATCTATCCTTAGAAGAGAGTATATTACATGTTCTAACATTTAAGAAATATGTTTATAATCTTTATAAGTCCTTTGGTTCTAGTCTTCCTTTCTTGCATTTGGTTTTGAATCGCTTTCCTATTCAAATCATACAATAATTTCATTTTCTAAAAGCATGTATAGTTAGAGTAGAAAAAGGAGGGGGAGCATAATTTCCCTTATCCAAGCTTTTTGATGTTACTATAATTATAAGGATAGATATGTTGTCATAGAAAGAGATAGGTTTCAACAATTGTTGAGCCCATTTTCCCACATGCTTAGCCCAAACTTAAAACCCATCTCAGGCCTAAAGTTGTTTAACCCAAATCAGGCTTGGCTCCGCTTTGGATCAAAGGATGAGTCCAAACGGTTGTCCCACTGTTGAAGAGAGGCTAATTTTTAACAAATAATAGCACATGAATTAATGCATCATTTGAAAAAGAAAGAAATAAGGGTGAAACTAGTTGAACACAACGAACTGTATAAAATAATATAACAGTTCAACATGTCTTGAGTCTGGATCAAAGTGCCATTTCCCTTCATTAGAAAATAAAAAACACACAAAATGTTAGATTCATTAGGATGGGTGTTAGGATTCAATCCCAAAGATGCACATACACTTACAGTAATAGTTAGTAACGAGAGTTAATTTAATAAGACTCGTTACAATTCATTCATATTAAATGTCAAATTTATACATTTATATTATTTAATAAACTTTGAAGATTTAATCAAATACTATATTGGACACCATAGCATTAAAAACAAGGTTCCGAAAGATGCGCAAAATGCGTAAGAAAACTTCCACGCTACTCAGAAGAGAGGAGGCAAATCAGTAATAATGGTTATGAATAGAAAATTGAAAGGTAATAATCCAAACAAGGTCCCACTACTAATGAAGTTCGAATATGGGTTACATGTGTATGGAGTAATTCGTGCCTACGTGGCAGAAAGATAATACGTGGCAGAATAATAAGAAATATTGCAAAATAAAAAACATTGGTCCCCACAAGACACCGCATAGGTGTATACTAAAAATCAGAGATACTCATGTCTACCCAAATATTATTATTCAGTATTTTATTCTATAATCTAACTATAGGATATATTTTGTGGGAGTTACACAACATATTTTAGTATTATGATAGGCTTCTCAACATAAATAAGAGTTATTTTAGTATTGTGTACTCTAAATTATCCCACATTTTAGAAAAAAGATTGAGTTTTGGTTATAAATTAAAAAGCAGTTTTTAGAGTTTTCTCTTACTTGGGATGAGAATGAGACATGGAAAGTAGAGATCTTTACAATATTTTTTTTTCATGCACATAAATGGCGAAATTAAAACCGAAAGATGGTGATAAGAATTCTGAATTCCTTCTGATTACACCGAAACATGTCGGTGAGAAATATCTCTTTAGTACAAAAAGAAAATTACAATATTTTTTTAAAAATAAAATAGCTTAGTTAAACTGAGGCCGCTTCCAATTATTTAATTCAACTTTAATTGCTTTATAAATTTAAGCTTTCATTTTTCAAAATTTAAGATTTTTTTATTAACTCACGTAACTTCTTTAATATTGAATTTTAAAAAAATTTTAAATTTTAAATCTTAATATATTAAATCAAATTAAAAATAGTTAAGATTACTGTAATTTAAATTTTAAATTTTAACATTTCATATTATTAAAGATGATGTGTCTTAAGTTTAATAATTTAAAATTATATTTAATTTAATCTCATTTATTATAGAAAATAATTATTATTAATAATAAAATAATTTATCTTTTGTAAAATTTATTTAAATTTTAAATTTTTATAACATGTCTTTAAATTTTCATTATAAAGTTTTATATAATTTTAAAATACTTATATAATATAAAAAATGTTACTTATTTAAAATTTCTACTTTTCAATAATTGATTGGACAGGTCGAATAATTGGAAACTGAATCGATTATGAACTTCTTATACAGTTCCATTTAAATTGATCGGAAGATATAAATACGCTTAATTTCATGAATCTCAATTTTTAAGGTTTATTTTAAGTATATAAAATGATAATTTATTATAAAAATTAATTATATTCATTATATTATCATAATAATAAATAATTTTAATAAAAAATTATCATATTTTACTATTTATCTTCAATATTAAGAACTCAGTTTAACATTTTTTATAATTAACTTGAGTTTTACGTATTTGATAATTAATTAACCAATTATTCCGAATTATCATAAGAAATACATTATTTTCATACTTTTTTTATAATATTAATAATATTTTATCTTATTTCATAATTTTTATTTCTCTTTTAAAAAATTGTATAAATATATTATTCTCCTACAAATTTCTTTCATTTTTAAAATAATTATTACAAGTCAAGCACATAAAAATCATCATAATTTAATTTAACTTATAAGCATAAAAAATTAATTATTATGACTAAAAGATATAAAAAGAGTCCAACTGAAAAGAATAATATTACTATTAAATAAAAGAATTTCATGATTTAAAAAGCATATTAAACTTTAAACATATTAGTCTAGTCAACCTGGGAAACAGATAATAATACTAATTAACTGAAAAAGACTATTAGAGATTAGATGTGTGAAAATAATTGAATAAATTCTGACAAATCTCAGAAACAATTGAAAATGAATGTGGACACATGTCTTTGACATTGGAAGACAGACAAAGAGGGCAACAAATGCTTCATACAATAAGTCATTTTTGCTGTCCCCACAGGCTGCCACGTGTCACCACCTTTTCAGAATTTTCTTTGTGGTCCTTTTTGGGGAGTTTTTGCAGTGCCTTATTATTCTCTCTTCATGGAACCAACAAGTCACTGTCCTCTAATTTTTATGCCATGGACCACTTAACTTACCCTATAATAAATTTTTATGGTAGTGAATATAGAAATAAACAACGAGTGAATATGCAATCATTTCATTCAAATAATTTATCCCCCAAAAAAATTGCTAAAGATTGTATCACATGATGTGTGTAAAAAAGTAGTATACATACATTAATGTCATGTATTTTAAGCCACCTTAATGCATATTTAACATTTAGTGAAAAATATATGCGTATAATGTATTAAAGTTATCACTTGTAAGTTACTCAATGCAATATCTCCTTAATTGTAATGTAGTTTAATATAAGATAATATATTCATTTCACTAGAAAAGAAGAGGTTAGTCACTAAATTTCTTCTCGTTAATATAATACATAGATGACATAAATTTTTCAAAAAAATTAATATGTAAATATATATATATATATATATATATTTAATCAAGATAATTCTTATATTTTTTACTCACTTGCATATAATTTATAACTTGCACTCACTCTCACTCACTCATCTGCCCCACCCTCATAGAAGGCAAGTGAACACCATTGAAGACAATGCCTTTTCGGTTAATATATTTTGGGAACATCTTATATATTTTTGTATTAATCAACATTTTTTTTTATTTCTACATTTTGTGAATTATATATACTTCTTTTGACCCCACTTAAATCCCTCTCCCATGGGTGAAGTGCTTCCTTTTCGTGAATTTTGTGCTACCTAGTTTGAATAATAATAATAATAATAATAATAATAATAAAAGAAGTAAATGCACCACAGAAGTAACCCAAAAGAAAGACAAATGGAAGTTTTTAATGTTATGAAACGATGTGTGTAAACTGAAAAATGAGAGAAACTAGGCGATAAAATACACAACGAGGAAATTAAATGCACCACATAAAGCTTGTAGAGTGAGTCCATGCATCATCAAATAAAAGTCAGAACATACATTTTACTTCAGGTCCTATCTCATCTACAATTTTCACATTTTGTAGGGACTGTGTATACAAGGCATTGACTAAGAAGAAAGGATAAACAAGAGTTAGTTAAGAGCTATCTACATTCATTGCCAGCAAAGATAAAAACAAAGCTTACCAATTAAGCTTCGCTTAAACCTAACATGTTTTACGAATTAAAAGCTTAGGCCATTTTTAAGGCTTGGTTAAAACTTTTTGACCTCTTAATCATTTTAATGGCTTACTTTATATTAAATAAGCCATCAAACTAGTAGACAATAACACTTGGAACAAACTAGCATAATATTGAACAAAATCACAACGTAACCAATTGCATTTTATTCATCCTCTTCATGAAATCAAATCATTAGGGATAATATCAAGTAATGAAAAGCAAGGATCAGTGAGCACAAGTGGTTTATAAGCTCTTTTTGTTAATATTTTTTTTTTATTAAATCTTTATGATATCTTATCTTTATTTCAAAATATACAAATTCTTACTCTAAATAAGAAAAAGATAATAAATCAAAATCGAACAAAACTGTAAATAAGCTCTTTTCATGATAATATAAAACTATTTTACGATATATATTTAAAATGTGTTTATAATAATTTTTTAAATATTCATTTAAAACATAAGATTTCATAATAAATTCCATATTAAAAACATTCATGAACCAAATTTATTATTTTACAATAAATATAAATATTAAATATTTAAAAGTATAATAAATTTTGTTCAATTTCATAAAAATCAACAGGTAAAGTGACAAATTTTATAGCTGCACTAAGATCACTCATGAGACATGGAGGATCCTTGACATGAAATGAAGGGCATGACATTTTAAATGGAGGCATGGAATTGCATGCTCTGTAATTCAGCAATAACTAGCAAGGAGACATCTAAGCCCTACAGTGGTAGATTCCAATAAACTATTATCTTTTGATGATGCTATTAGGTTTCTAAGTTGGCCTAGTTTGAAACATAATTCTACCTTACAACAATACATAATTTAGTAGTGTATAATTTTTTTCCTAATAATTTGGCCTTGCATCTGATTATGCTTGTTTGAGTTAAACAGTTGTTAAATTAATTTATGAAGGAAATGAGAAATTATTGCATATTTTGAACTGCTTCAATTAATTGGAGAAAGTTATAAATTTTCAAAGTGATAGAAAATATAAGATTTTTTTTTTCAGGATTTTACAAAATTTATCTTAAATATTTACTTTCATAAATATTTTAAAAAAATTGGTAGAAGTTGGATTGATTTCAACAATTTCTTCGCTTTCAAATAGAAAAGCTATCCATTTAGAGATATATTTAGTATTTAGTGAATATACAAACAAACAAACAAAATTCTGTAATTTCATCAACATTTAAAAAAATCAGGTATAATTTTTAGATATTTTTTTTATATATTTTCTAGAAGAAAAAAGAGCTACAAATTAAACTTGGGAGATGTCAAAGGGTAAGTTGCAATTATCAATCAATCCTTTTACATTTTTTTTAGTTTGTTTTTTTGGGGTAAAAAATCAATCAAATTCCAAATCTCGAGGCCGTAGAGCGCAACATCTTATTGCCTAATTGCAGTTGCCATTTCCTTTTTCGCGAAAAAAGCTATTTTCTTTAAAATTGTTAGGTTTTTCTTTTTCTATTTTCTCTCAGACAAGAAGAAAAATGTTCCTTACACGGAACTTAAAAAACCTAAATAACTCAAAATATATAAAATATAAACCACATTATCATTAAGAGGTAAAAATATTATCAAGATGAAGTGATATTCGTACATGTTATGCGTATATCAATCTCATTAACAAATAAAAATGTAAACAAATAATTTTTTTAATGTACATCTAATCAAAATATCACACCATCTAATACATGGGTGACATTATTTCATCAGTTTAAGTTTTTATGAAAACATTTGATATAACTTATAATTTTTTATATTTAATATTATATTTGAAAACTATGATTTAAAAAAAGTGAGAGAAAAATTAACCAAGGGTTAAAGGAGTGAGATGAAATGGTCCTAAGATTTGTTGACACTTGACACCCCAACGGTGGACAGCATCGACCCTATGTCGCATCCTACTCTTAGCCACAAATTACTTAACGGTAACAAATACAATGGGAACCGATTCATCTCTCAAAATTTCTTTTTTCCTTATTTAATAATAATAATAATAAATGATAAATGTGGATGAGACTAGGGTCCTCCCTCCTCCCCTAGCCGTACCCAAATTACAATAACTTTTTGATAAAAATAATGTAATCTGTCTCCTTTCTCTCTTCCCAAAGATAAAATATTTTTTCTTTTTCATGAATCCTTTTCCCCACGCTAAGCTCACTGCTTCCTCTCTCCTTCCTTTGATTATGCTCCTTTAAACTCGGTTAAAGCAAAACCATTATTTGCCACCCCAATCATAAACACAGTTCATTAAATACCCACTCCTAAGGTCTTTCTCATTTATTTTTCTAAATTGCAATTAACAAAATCTAATCCGAATTTTTTTATTATATCTATTTTCTATACACATTAAAAAATAATATTATTACTACACCTCATTTAATTTTTAACATCCATAAAGAACAAATTTAAATACAATATTTTTTAAAAAGTAATATTTTATTTATTCCTATTTTGATGCATCTAGGATTGAGCCATAAATAAATCCCCCATTAGATGTTTAGCATCATATCACAGTTGACAGAGCTCCCTCAATCAACAACTAACAATTACATCGCAGATACATGAAAACATATCAAGCGTAATTCCACGTTTACAACCACACTCCGTTTATAAGCCCAAACAAACCCTCTCTCAACCAAAAACCCACACATTCTCTTCTTCTCTTTCTCTTTTCTCTTCTCCTTCAACAATGGCCAAAGAGAGAGAGAAGAAACTCTACGTAGCTTTACTCGGAAACTACGCAGCAGAACTAAAGCTTCTCCTCACAACCCTTCTTCTTCTCTGCGTCGTTGCAACTCTTCTTCAGTTCCTCCCTTCTCGCTTCACCATCTCTGCTTCCGATCTCCGAGTTTGCATATCAAGAGTCACCCAAACAACCCCTAATGCCACTTCATCGACTACATCGTTAACATCACTACCCTCTGTTTCTCTCCCTTCTCCACCACCACCACCGTCACCGTCACCACCACCACCTTCACCACCACCACCCTCACCACCTTCTGAACAAGTCATCGCCGGAGGAATCATAAAACGCGCTTTCAACCCTTACGGTTCCGCAGCTTACAACTTCGTAACAATGGGTGCATACAGAGGAGGCCTAAACACGTTTGCTATCGTTGGAATCTCTTCAAAGCCTCTTCATGTCTACGCTAAACCCACTTACGAGTGCGCCTGGGTTTCACTCGCCGGCGAAAACTCCTCCAAACCCGTCACCACCGTCGGCTACAAGATCCTCCCTGACTGGGGCTATGGTCGCGTCTACACCGTAGTTATCGTGAACTGCACTTTCTTGGAGCCTCTCAATGTTGACAACGCCGGCGGCAAGCTCGTTCTCTTCGCCTCCACCTCCGGCGGCGGCGATGCGAGCCTCAACGTCACCGACAGAATCGAGGTTCTCACAGAGCAACCGGGAACTCTAGATGCTTCGTTGTTCAGTTCAAAGCCTAAGTACGATTACTTGTACTGTGGTTCGTCTCTGTATGGGAACCTTAACCCACAAAGGGTTCGAGAGTGGATCGCTTACCACGTGAAGTTTTTCGGGCCAAGGTCGCATTTTGTGATACATGACGCAGGTGGGGTGCACGCGCAGGTTTTGGAGGTGTTGAAGCCGTGGATGGAACTTGGGTACGTGACTTTGCAGGATATAAGGGACCAAGAGAGGTTTGATGGGTATTATCATAACCAGTTTATGGTGGTTAATGATTGTTTACATAGGTATAAGTTTATGGCTAAGTGGATGTTCTTCTTTGACGTGGATGAGTACATTTATGTGCCACCTAAAAGTACTATTAAGTCCGTTCTCGATTCACTCTCCGAGTACTCTCAGTTCACCATTGAACAGATGCCAATGAGTAGCAAGCTTTGCCTTTCCGCAGATTATGGCAAAACCTACAGGTACATTCTTCTTAATTTTTTGTATTTTGTTGCCCTTTTTTTATTTATGTTCAGCATGGCTCAAATGGGGTTTGCATAATGTTTTGTTCCGTTTTAATTCTAGTTGGTCTTTTGTTAATTTGTTGGGTTAATTTGGGTGTTTGTGTGGTGAGCTACGAAATTGAAGAGCAAATGAAGTGAGATGAAAGAATGAAGAGGTTTGTAAGTGGATCTGTGTTGGATTTTGAAGGGGATCAATTCGGGGTTTAGTTTAGTTTAGTGAAGTGAATTTTGAATGGTTTGGAAAGTGTAATGAGCATTTACTCGGGTAGGTAGTTTGAAGAATCAAATGTGATGTCATTGGTTTTTTCTCATGTTGTGTTGGTGTTTGATAATATGGTGGATCTAGAGTGGTTGAGTGCTGTTTCTTTCCCTAGCGTGGAAGGTGGGTTGATTGATTTGGTTTGCACGAGTTTAGAGTAGCCATTCCTTTGGACAGGTAAAGGTGTGGTGGTGTCTTAGAGCTTTTTTCTAGGGTGATTTATATCTTATTAATTAACGCACCGTTTTAACTGTTAAAAATAGCAAAATGGTATTGTTTGTTGAAGAGGTTTTTAATGTCATACTGAAAATTCAGACAATTCTTTAATTCAGTCACAAATGTCCTTTTTGAGTAAGGTTGCTGTGCTGTGCTGCCAGCAGTACCAATTGTCAACATCATGCTAATTCTGGTAATCGAAAAAAAAATAAAAATCAGGGAGCGTGTTAAATTGTGATGATGATCTTCCCCAAACGTTCACTTTGCATTGATTTTTATTTTTTATCTGAGATTTAGACCTGTGCATCCTGGTCCACAAGTGCTTTGATTATGACGGATTTGTTGGTTTGCACTCAACCCTTTCTCTATTCATAATAATTACCATTTCCCATTTTCACCGTCCATCAACAACAGTTAGATCTAGCTGTTTTGTCCAATTCAAGTGTTTGTATGTTGATTTTTGTTACCATACACTGAACACAGAAGGAGGGGTGATTGTGTTTGTGGCTTTTACAGTTAGTTTGATAAGTACATATGCCACACTAGGGACACAGTTGTCAACCATGTTGTGTGTAACATCGTTATTTTGTGGTGAATGTTATGTTGGGGGGGTGTCTCAAATGGTGTGAAATAAATTTCCAGGAAATGGGGCTTTGAGAAGCTGGTGTATAAAGACTCGAAGAAAGGGATTAGAAGGGATCGCAAATATGCAGTGCAACCAAGGAACTTGTTTGCAACTGGGGTTCACATGTCACAGAACCTAGCAGGAAAGACGACTCACAAAACTGAAGGGAAAATCATGTACTACCATTATCATGGAACCATAGCTGAAAAGAGAGAATCATGCAAAATGCTTTTGAATCAAACAGAAATTACCTATGACAAAACCCCTTACGTGTTGGACACCACCATGAGGGACATTGCTGGTGTGATCAAGAAATTTGAGCTCAAGATGATTGGAAATAGGCTACAGAAGAAGACACGGCAATGACGCTGCCAACAGGACAAATCTCTTTATTTTTTTATTTTAAACTTTATAATAATTTAACTTGTGGTAGAATAGAAATTCATTGAGCGGTTCTTTTTTTCTTTTCTGTTTGATAGTTTTTTTTTTATTTCGTATATTTACAGATGAGTACATGAGCTGTTTCATTCTTAGTGTTTCTTTTGTGTTCACTATTGTTTTTTATTCTTTTCTTTTTTACATTTGTAAAAAAAATAATGAATAAAGATGAATGGTTCAATAATGTTGTCGGTGTGGGGCATGATGAGGCATCCCCACCCACAGTGACAGACACCATATGGAGGGTGGCTATTGTGCCCCTCTTGGCTGTTGCTGTGCTGGTGTGTGCATCTTTTTTTCTTATTCTATTTTCGATCCCCCCATTCTTTAATTATTTTCTGTGAAAGCATTATATTCCTTTCTTTAATTTGATGATGAATCCTAGCTCTTTCTTTGACCCTAAACATAATTATGAGATTATTTTTCAGATTTAAAGCACACTTATAATAATAATATGAGGGAAATTTGTGGCACGTCCCTTGAGCTGGGAATAAAGCTTTCTAGTTATGCTTATTTATGGAGTCTATACCTTTATGTATGAAAGGAAAATTCTGTACTGTTTGTCTCATTGATTAAAGGGGTTTGCTTTTGGACAAGTCAAAAGGGCCATGTGGATGACATGAGTGCTCTTTCTCTTATCTAATAGGACATGGCCTAATCATTAATAGCTAATTATTATTTTTTAGATTTTAAGTGTTTAAATTATTTATAATATAATCATCTTACATTTTAAGGGGTAATTTCTTTTGCATCTAAAGTTCAAATTGTTGTTATGCTATAGAAATATCAAAATTTACCGGAATACTATCGAGTATTTCCTGTTTTATGTTGTGTTTTAAAATTTCATTAAGTTTTTTAAAATTATAAAATTAAATGTATATGACCAAATTTAAATATAGATTATTTGAAAATATTTAACACTAAAAGCACTCTTACAAGTTGTGTAAGTAAATTTTATTTGCATCTACTAGAGAACAGAAAATCAATGTGAACCAAGATCAATTACAATAATTTTAAAAATGCATATTTTTTCAAAAAATTTCTTATTCATGTTCAAAAGATAAAAAAAATTGTCAATATAAATAATAAAAATATATTTGGATTGACATTATAATACGTTAATTTAAATTGATTTTTTAAATAATTTAATTTAATTTAATTTTATATCTTAATTAAAGATGATAAAATTGGCAAGTTCGATTAATAGTTTCTCACCAGTTTACTTACTTATTTCTGCTTTTTAGTCGGTCAAAATGTATTAAAGTATGCTGACTTGTCAATATTTTTTTAATATAAAAACAAAAATATTTTTATTAATTATTAATGTAAAATTATTATTTAAATATCTTTTATAAGCTTTTATTATTTATATTAATTTTAAGCGAATCAATCAAATCTACCAATCTACTATCTTGTTGATCTACTTCTAATTTTATTTTATTTTATTGCTGACTCGCTAGCTTATTAACACACTTTTAAATAGGTTAGAATAAAATATTTTTAAATAAATTATAAACTCGGTCAATATAGTTATACTTAGTAACAGCAGCAATGCCATCCACATTTCATATCAGTTAAAATGATGCAATGGGCACGTTATATATATATATATAGATTTTTTTATATAAGTGTAAATTTAAAAATTCTTATTTTTAATTTAAATTTTTTATTTAACTCAAATCTAATGAATTATAATTTATTATTTTATTTATCATTAAATTTAAGTTAAATAAAAAATTTAAATTAAATATACAAATTTTTATACTTATTCAGTGTAAGAATATCTTTAGCCATGGATATATAATGTTGCTTATGAGGTTACAGAATTACTCGTTTAAGAACCAGTTTCAAAGATTCACACTTAAATTCTGTGTCTCAAAACACAGGAAAACGCGTGATCTTATATAGAGCCCTGAAAGGTGTTCCGAAAAAGAGAAAAATGAATATAGATATCATTGGAGAAATATTATTTGATGCATTATCAGTATAAACTTTTACATTTTCATTTGACAGTAGACTATATTTCATTCGATGGATATGTCATATATTAATAAAATAATAGTGTAAAGTTTCACATCAAGAAAGAATTACCTACTCAAACTATATACTTGACACGTTGTGAGTTGGACAGGGGTCTCATTTGACCGAGTCCATAGGGAATTTAACCAATTTAATTGAGTTGGCATGAATTGACATAAAAAAAATTGAGTTGGCATGAATTGATACACCTAGTATTGTTAATTTATCGTTGTTGAAGATTCAAAAGCTTAATTTTTCTTATATAAAAGTGCTTATCTTTTATTTCATGAAGGATCGATGTCTTAGATTTTTATCATATCATTTTAATACTTTTTATTATATTGTTTGATGTAATTTGTGTTACCGATAACAACATATTGAAATTATAAAAGATTCACTTCCACGGATCGCTTGAAATACGTGGCTTTAGCAGAATCTCAGCATCTGTTATGTGGGGTTGGTTGATATCTTTTCGTTAGGACCAGGAATGACTACATGCAATTACTACTGGCGTGACATCAAAGAATCAGGAAAATAAGAAAGCAAAATTTTAATAATAAACATTGCCATCAAGTAATTATTTTCTCTTTTCTCTTTTTTCACTTTTCATTCATATAAAACAGAAAATTGAGATGCACATAGAAAACTGCAAATTAAAAAGCATAGTCTGCTAAATGATAACGTGGTCCATGGCCATCTTTTGTTTAGGCCAAAAAGAGGGTCCTACATGGCCATTAGCATGCTTTATTTTGCAGTGTTGAAAAGTCTGTGTGTGTGACTATGTTGAAGGGCAAGCTGTGAGGTATCCAATATCTTAGCCAGCCGACACATGCACATAATATGAATCAATGTGCTATATCTAAAATTAGGCTTCAAACACTAGTCAACAACTGTGTTCCTTCCTTCACTACCTTTTTATGTTGGAATTTGAAGCCTTCAACTATACTCTTTCTTTCTTTGCCTTTCTTCATCTCTTGATTTCATAATTGAATTTGGAAAAGATAACCCAGACATATTTATGTGTCAATGTGATGAGAGTTTCCTAGAAGGTGTCTCACCATTATTGAAATTCACTAATGCATATAATAAAACCTTGATAAATTTGTATACTATATAACCTATATGTGATAAAAAATTATAATTCAGTTTTACTTCAAATTAAGAAATATTATATTGTATCTTGTTAAAAAATTGTAAAATAAAAATTACTAATTTTAGCTTGTTGCGAGTTAATGTAAAATGGGTAGGAAGAAAATGGCACAAAGGGACAAGATTGTTGGGAAGGGGACAAATGAATGGACCATGATTTGCAGAGGTAGCACGTCAAGGAAAAGAGCTGGCAAAATTGAAATGGGAAAAAGAAATTCATTTAACAAATCATCTAATAAATCCAATTTTTCTGTTGGTGGTGTCGAGTTTATGATGCATTTCTCGAGTTTTCTTCTCTTGTTCCTATGGACACCAAGAATCATAAAGTAAAATACTACTTCCCACTCTTTACACCCAATAGAAAGGGACATTGAAGAATCAATGATGGGAAAGTTCCATTATTTAAATGCTCATTCATAGCCACCATATGTTCATTATTATCACTGAATAACATTAGCATTAATTCAAACACACAAAATAGCTACTCTATATGAAAATAGTTTTTTAGCAAGAAGCATCTCTAGTATCTTCCTTGCTAACCAAACTGTGTAGGCATTATTTTAATAAGAATACCATATTCTAACATGGCATGCCATTAATTGTTTTTCCTAGTTATTTTGATTCCTTACTCTGATTAGTGGGCGATGTGGGGTATGTTATTTTTTGTATTTACGTCTACCTAAAACACACATTGTAATCAAAAGTAGTAACCAATCACTTAAATCCAAACAATCCCTCAAAGGGTGTTTCTGGAACAATAATAAAATATTCATTAAAGTGGATGCTAGATTTGACGGTCCCTATGTTATGAAATTTAAAAAATATCAATAATTTACAAGTTAGCTTAATGTTTATTATGCACATGAACTAGGCATCAAAGAATTAAATAATCCACCGTTTTATTGTAGGAGTTTTTATAATTGAGGCTGCCCCAGTTTAGTACTTCACAAACTTTTACTTTAATCTGCAACCAGTTTCCAGCTACTGACACTTTTTGCCATAAATCTCCTCTCTATTGGGTTCACATAGATGTAATGAATTGGAAATGTGGATAGAATAGTAATAAATTAATAACTCTGACATCACACGGTTGAATGTTCAGTTAAGCTGAGACCTGTGAAACCCATTGGGCCACACTTGTAGATGCACATAAATCAGTGAAATTCATTCTTTCTTTATGTTTCTTTTGGGTATGAAAATAAGTTAACATTCAGAAGAGGTTCTACCCACTGCATTATGCTTAAGGCCATTTCTACACATAATATTTCAGTGCTTGTTGATCCCACCCTACTGCACTTCACTGCACAGTTTATATTCTAGAGAAGTACATAAATTTAATTGGTTAGGTGGGTCTGTTATTCCCATCACAATTGTTCATATCCACCTTATTCAAGTGTTTCTGGTAAGGACAATTATGTAAAGTAGAGGCAGGTAAAAATCAATTGTTAAGGACAAATACTATTTACAAAAAGAAATTGTTCATTCTGAAATTCTAATTGAAACAACTGTTTACATTGCATTATTTGTGTACCCCCAAAGGCTATCTTTAATTTTGTGTATTGTAGAATCAAATACATTGGGACTAATTTGTTGATTCAAAACTTTGATTTTGACTCTTGTTTATGTTATTAGACTGGCTATAAATAAATTCATTTGATCCTTCCTTGTTCTTTTCCTTAGAATCTAATACAATGTGATAACAGATTAAAAAAATGAATAGATGGTTATAAACAAGTTATGCTAGTCTTTCACGTCCTTTATTGTTTTAGACAAATGACTTTAAATTTAGCAAAAAGTTAAAAAGGTGTGGAACACTACGGCTATGATAAACCTAAACTTGGATGGAACCTTCCCACTTAGGACCTCCTCAAAAGATGATGGTACCGAAGACCTTTAATCATTGAAGCAATGAAAATGGGACTATTAAAGACTTGTTATTATTATTGGAAACCAAATAGAACCTACATTATTTGAAAGTAAATTATAATTTGTCAAGAAAGATATAGACAGTTTGATACCAATAACATAGTTTTTTTCTTGATTAATGGAAAGAATAATTCCACTGGCCAACCATATAATCCTTTCTTTTTCTATTTTGTCTGCTCTAGTGTGTGCACTTTACCATATAATTCAGCTTCTTTGGCAGCCACAATAATAGGAGAGGTGGTTGGTTTCTCAAATTCATTTTCTGGGGGGTTCTTCTTTTACTTTCCATGCCCTCTTTAAAAACGTTTATTTTATGCATGCGGAATCTCTATCCAATCCTCATAATGTTATTAATGTGTGTGTTCGAAGAGAACAAGCTCAAATTTTTCTTAGTTGATTAGTGTCATGAGATTAATTGGTAGCTGATTATGCCAAGATAGTTATTAACAATGGATTGGAATTAGAAAGTTTTTTTTTTTCTTTCATGCTTTGCTATTTCTAGTTGGCTGGATCCAAATGAAACATAATTTGTGAATGGGTTATAAACTGGAACTTTTGAAGATTTCACCCTATGCAAAATTAAATGTAATGCACGGTTCTTATTTTGTTTGTCTCTGTTTATGCAACAGTATTATCAATTCTTCTGGATGGAGAGAAATTCTTGGGTAAAATCTTACTTTGTGTACCGATAATTAAGCTTATTTGATAATTTTTTTTATCATAGAAGATTTATGATCATAAATTGGTTTATAAAATATATTGAAATGGATTAAACAATATTTTGGAGAGTTATACTAAAAAATTGTTAAAACACTAACTAAAGTTAATTTAAGTAACAAACAACTTAGTATCATTTAAGTAAAATTTTGGATTCAAGTCATTGTATATACAAAAAAAAATTTAGTGATAAACTCATTCACCATATCTAGATGCGCAATTCAGGTTATATTTAAATTAAATTGGGTGAAAAACTAAAAACAAAAAAATTATAAAACTATTTTAAAAAATTATTCATTCAAACACTCTCTAAACAAGTTACGAAAAAAAATATAAATGATTTAGAGCGAGTCACTAATAAGAATTATTAAAGCAGTGAAATAAAAACACATAACAAAATAGCTAAAGATGAAGGTGAAATGTTTACAATTTATTTGACACTCCACAATATATATTTTTCATTTGGTCAATTAGCTTCCAACGATTAAAGTAAATTATTAACTCTGAATTTGTTAGGCAGATTTTCTTCTATTTTTGTTGCCTTTTTTTTCCGTCAACATTCTATTTTTGTTCAAATTTTCTTTTGGGGGTATTTATAGAGTCCAAGTTGGAAACGGGCCTGAATTTTTACTATAATGCTTGGGACCATGTGAGAAGCCCATTTGAAGATTTCATTGGACCTTGAAGTGACTACTGCCTGCTAGGGAATACGGCTGGCTGGCGTGGGCTAATTGGGCTTAAATGACGACACATCAACGACCGAAAGAGATTTGACAAAAGAAGAGCCCGATACAAAAAAACTGAGGCCATATTAATTTTTCCATAATATGATAATTTTTCATAATTCAAGGACTAAATTTTCATCTACTAAATTAAAAATAATTTATAAAATTAGAAACTAAAGTGATAAATTGACTGAATAACTCATGTTACCGTATTTTGTTATTCAATCTTAAAATTTCTCTGATGAAGACTAAAAAAATGAAAAAGAAATGTACGAAGTTGGTGTGGAGAAAAACGTTAAGGGAATGAGGTTGCAAACAAAAGGGCTTGTCTCGCAGTCTTTTTTTAGTTAGATCTGATAAAAGATATAATCTAAATCAAGATAAAAGAATATATATATATAGAAAAATTAGCAAACTAATCACTTAATTTTTTTAGGGATATTAAATTTATCTATTTAAATGTTAGATTAAACATTTCGATGAATAGATTAAATTTAAAATTGTATATAATTAAAATATAAATAAAAATAATTATAAGCTTATATACTTAAATTTTTTATTATATTTAAAAATGTATATGTACGATTATTAAAAAAATCTCATGATTTAATGATTATATATGATACTCTTATTCTTTAAAATAAGTGAATATTCGATTTTGTTAACATTGACCAATTTTAAATGATTATAAATAGAACTTTTTTAAAAAAACTATTTATCATATTAAAAATATATCAAATAAAAAATATTTTTTAAGAGATACTTTTACTTTTATAACTAATGTTAACAAATTCAAATCAGTGTTTTAAAGTGTAGTTCACAGCCAAAATTACTCTCACAACATGAAGATTTTAATGATCTTAGCAATCGCATTATGATCACAATTTCGATCACATGAACCCATTTATCAATAAATTTTGACAATGTAAAAAATTATGACATAACCGCAACCATGATCAAAACGGAAATTTAAAATTGATATGTTTCAATAAGAAGATATTATTTATGTTTCAATATTTTTCAACAATATATCAAAACATGAGAAATTATCCACACTTGTGCAAACATGAAAAATGTTTTGTATATCATTTGGGAGTACATCTTTAGATGTCTCCTTTACATTTTGAGTGTGATTTGAAAATGCGTAAATATATTTGATAAAAACTAAAATCAATTGTACAATGTGAATTTGTAGTATTGATCCATTGTCTAAGAGAAAGGTTGATGTAATCAGGAATCATGCATCATCGCCACCGCATTTCAACATTATAGAAGGCAAATCAAAGTAGGAACTGAAGGAGTCATCTTCAAAACTATTTTCTTGAACTGTTATCCCTTTACCTTGTGTAACCCCGGGCTTAAGTTCAAAGATTTCCAAAGAAAATGTGCTAGACATTACAGGATCCACTGAATGATCCATTTTGATGCCCCCTTTACTTGCTTTAACTTTCTTTGCTTTTCCTAATCCTGGCAAACACATGCAAAGGGCATTAACTTTGAATCCAACATCTTCCATTCTCTTGCCACTATCTTTGGAGAAGCTTCCTTGATGCATGTTATCATTTTCTACTTCCACTGCACTCAGCCTAAAATCAAATTCATCTGGGGTTGCATGAGTTCTTCCTTGGTTTTTTGGCACTGACATGCTCCTACATTGTAGATGTTGTTTCTTTTGGCTCAAGTTACTCATCTTACTTGGTGATTCTAGGCTCTGAGGCAATGAGCTAGGTGGAATTGGAAGGGTGCAGCTCAAGAATTTGTGTTTTGGTTTCTTCAGTGATAGTGAATCCACCACAATATGCATTTCTTTTTGCACCCGCATGTTGGATTTTTCCATCACTGTTAAAAGGAAAAGATATCTGCTTCAGTTTCAATTGGTTTTAAGTGGTGGTGTTTTCTGACTGTAATAAGAGAATTGAACTATTTATAGAAGAAGAGGCATAGAGTGGTGTTGTTTCTCTCTGTACAGCCGTTGAGATTACTTTTTAGTTTGGTATCCATTTTTAGATATCAATTAAGATGCTTTGGACTCTTAGGATCAGTTGACTTTTTTGTACATTCACATCCAAAATTCCTGGCCGGCATTGTACTTGGATTGGATGATTGAGACTTGAGAGAGATCAATGAGGGAGCCGGCAACATTGGTAATTTGTGCATTAATTTTATATTTGGGTTGATTGACTTTATTCTGAAATAGTAATAGAGGAATATAAGATGCATGCATGACATTCTTAAATAAGGGGGCAAGTGAATCACAAATTAAATAAATCTTGTAACGTGCATACTTCAAAGTCAAGATTCTCATAATAGGAAGCAGACAAATATAATATAGAACTAACCATGACGAATATCAAATGGCATCATACCTTTGCTTGCAAGATGTGAGTTTTAACCATTGGTTAGAAAATCAATGATTAGGTCTGTGATAAGATTCTATAAAAAACTAAGAAGTTGTCTAAATACACCTTGATTTTATCTTTGATGGTGATAACTCCTCACTGTTCCCTGAAAAATAATGTCAGGGACATTTTGATCCAAAAAAAAAAAGTAAATAACCTGAAAAATATAAAAATGAGACACTTTTGTTCTTACTTTCAATGGATGAAAGGATTAAAATGTCTCACATTTATAATTTCGAAGGACTATTTGGTGACTTTGTTTCAAGGACTAAATTGGGTCAAGTGAAAGTTTCATGGACTAAATTATGATTTACTCTCGGTTTTTTAATCACTAATATTTGCAGCGATATGATATGAGGATCCATTCCAGCATAGGGGAATCTGCTGCTGAATGTTTCTTTGGTAGGCAAGCTAAATGTTTCAAGAAATAAGCATATGGTATAAGAAAACTGAAGCAGATGTGTCTTTATAATCCGCATTCGGCAAAGGTTAGCGTGCATTAACTACTGACAAACTTTCTGTTGCTTATTATTGATATCTTAAGATGCTTAATGAGTGTCATTCCATATGTATAAAATATCAATGCTACCATAATCAAACTTAACTCCGTTATTCACTGTATTTATATCTTTGTTTCTTAGTTTCTCTTTTATTCCTTGCTGTAATTTTTTCTTGTTTTCTCAAAGATATACAAATTTCATTGATGTTGTAGGGAATTTTCTCTTCTATTTGGAAACAAAAAATGATATACTCGAATATAGTAACGACATATCAGGGAAAAATATAAGTAATTTAAAGGTAATGTCAATTTGAAAAAGAAGCATTTTGTAGTAAACAAAACTCATTTACTCACACTGTTTATAATTTATACACTAGAATTTTTATTGTCTCTATTAAATATTGTTCATATAATATTATCCGTAAAATAAATGCAATTCACATGTTCGAAGAAACAAATTTTGCGTGGTTGTGACTTGTGAAACCAATTTTAACAAAACACATCTTGGTTGTGTAACCGAAATGTAAGTAAAAATCGAAAGTTGTCTTAACTTGATATTATTACGACAGATTATACCCTTGATTACAGTTTAATAGTTTCATGCATGATGAGTAGGGTAAGGTGATCATTTATATCACAATTCACAAACAAAACTACCCTCCATTTTCCCTTTAAATCTAATTAGTTAACAAGTAGGCTAGCACTTGCTAAATGAGTGTGCGGATTGCAGAATTGGACACAAAAGCAAGTATTCATTTTTCGTATGAAGGTAACAAAATCAGCTACAAATGAAGCTTTATGAGTAAATATTTTTATTCTAAATTCCCTATTTCATTGTCAAGCACTTTGTGCTGCTGCTAAGAAGGCATTAAAATCTTCTCTGGCTTTTCTCAAACGAGGAGAGATGCAGGATGCTGGGGAGGCAGGGTATGATGGAGAAGAAGATATGGAAAACCGAACATGGCGAGGTGATGCATCAGATTTTCTAACACTGCCTCTAGTGGAACCATTCTTCAGAACCCCTTTGAGGTCTTTTTCAAAGACAAAAGATGCAGCAACTGGCGAGTACACTTCACTAGCACTGCATTTGATCAACTCTATTGGAAGATCAAAGTAGGAGTTGGTGGAGCCTCCTTCAATCTCATTGAATATTGCTGCAGAAGCCCATGAACCACATTCAAAGTTTTCCAAGGAAACTGTCCTAGATATTACACCTTCCTTTCTTGTTTTAACTGGCTTTACTTTACCACCAAAGCCTGGTAGATAAAGGCAAAAAGCACTGCATTTAAGGCCATCATTTTGTGTTTTCATGTGCTTATTAACACTCTTGGAACTTTCTTTGACAGCTTCAATCCTGGACAAGTCGTCATGGTGCCACTTATCATGCTCCATTGCACTTAATTTACTCAACCAGTGATCAAATTCATCTGAGGGTGCACATGCTCTTCCTTCACCACATGACTTGCTCTTCCTTAAGTGCATTTCTTGTAGCAGATGCTGAAGCTTGTAGGTTAAGTTAGTAGCATGACATTGTGATTCCGGGCTCTCACTTTTTGATTTCTTCTTCGAAAGAGCCGAAGCGAAACGAGGCGATGAATTCGCCGAATTCGGGAGACTCATGCTTAAGAATCTTGGTTTTGGAGGTTGTAGAGTTGGAGGGTGCAAAATGGTGGCTGCTGAAGTTGTGGTGATTATACTTGGCAGCATGGTAGTGTCATGGTACCCTTGTTTAATAGGATAATTTTTTAGTGAAAGTGGATCCACCACAATATGCTTTTCATTTTGCAAGCACTCCATCAATGAAATTCTTGGTTGCTCCATCTCTTTTATGTGAAGCTACTATGTCTTTTGATAAGGATTTCTATATCAGAAACTCAACATGGACTTGAGGAACACCAAAGGGTAGATAACTGCTTATATAGGAAATGGATAGAATGTAAAGAATGAGTTAACATAACATGCCAACATGACCTTTTCACATCTTAGTCGTGATGACCATGTTCTTTGTATATTATAGTTGATTATATATTTTTCCCCGTAGGTATTAGCTGACTTTATATAAGATAATTAGATAAGTAAGAACTTGAAAACATGGTCAATTGTTCCTGTTATTCTTAAAATACATAGCACATCCATGACTTGAAATATTAAGTATTATTATATCACAACTTGAGCTTTGTACGTGCTGGCATCAACCAAAAAGAAATCATATGTCAAAGCATAAAAAAGAATATAGGGCCAAATATCATGAATAATTGATACCAACGTACATTTAAGATTAGAAAATAAAATATAACAAGCTACAATTCAAAAAATTCACACAATAAGAATTTTTACACAATACTTTTTTTATATAAAAAATACATAATATGATCTATTTAAAATTACACAGTAATAGTAAATGTTGTAATTTTTAATAAAATTTTATTATTTATTATTTTAGTATAACTGAGTGTGTCCTTAGACACATACTTAAAAAAATAAAAAAAAATAATAACAGTTTTAGATTATTTTTGTAATGCACTTTAAGTCACTAACAATGAATACAGTCTTTTTGCATTGCAGCCACCTGAGGATCAAATCCAATGTGGCTTTTGTTTTTGCATAGGCAGATGTGATTGACATGTTCTTCAATTCTTCTCTTCTTTTCTTGTCTATTATTTAATTAATTAGGAATGCACATATCTTGTAAAATTTGCCTTTACATCACACATAATGGTTTTAAAAAAAATATCTCAAAGTTGAAACCTGGGTTCACTTCTGACGTGGACCCACCTTAAGTGGGCCCACACTGCCAATTGAAGCTGAAACTGGCTACTTGCCATATACCCCATATTGTTATTCACACTCATCCTAAGATCTGAGGCAGGTTAAAATGAAGTGGGCTGGGCTACTTTTGCTTTGGAAAAACATTGTGTTACTTTAAGAATTTTAAGGTCTGACAAAAAACTTAAAATAACCCCATCTTTATTTATATAGCAAAAGTTTTACTCATTTTAAGCTTTTGGAATTAGCTTTTGAAAAGAAAGAAATGAAAAGAGAAAATTGAAGAGCTTGTTTGTTTCTATTTTCTTTTTTAATTTTTTAAAATTATATTTTAAAACAATTTAAAAAACTGTCATTTTAAAAAATAAAAAAAATTAGGTTAATAAACAAATTTTATTTTACTTCTTACTTGTAAAAAAATTATTTTTAAAAACATAAAAAAATAAATTTCAAGCTTTTTAATGAGAAGAAAATATTTTGTAAATCTTTCAAAATATTTTCATATTTTTAAGACTTCATTTGAGAGTTAATTTTTTTAAAAAGAAGAGATAAAATTTATGTGATAATACTACTTGTTTCAAAGTTATTATAGTAATACTAACAAATAAATGCAGAGTAACCAGTGTAATATTTTAATATTTTTATATGAAAATAATTTTATTTATCATCACCATTATTATTAATTTTTATATAAAAAATATTTGTTTAGAACGATAGATTGGAAACATTATTTTAAATTCAATCTATTTTTAAAAAATTTAAATATTTATACATTATATTAAATTGAATTTATATTTATTTTTTTAAGGTATCAATTTTATATATTATTACAAATTTAATTAATATTAACTTAAATTCAATTTCAAAATTTTAACATATGGCATAAATCATCTAATTTTATGTCACATCATGTTTTTCAACTAGTTTAATAATTAGTGTCATTATTAGTAACTTTTATTCATAAATTATTAAAAATTGACAAATTATTATAAGATAAGTCTTGTGTGAAAGTAAAATATATATAAATTTTTCAGTTAAGTTGAGAATTTTTTTATATTATAGTTTTAAAAATTGAATTTCATTTATCAAATATTTGAAATTATTTCTTCAGTGTTAAAAGAATCACATATTTGATATTATAATTTTTTTTTCTCTTTAAAAAACTATCAATTAAAATATTAAATAATTTTTTTACCAAACACTTTAGATATTTATATCAACTTTACTCCCTAAAATGTTCTATATATTATAAAAGTTTCTTACCTCACTTTCTTTCTACTTAAATTTTATATCATTATTCAGTTTCATTATTTTAAATTACAGTAAATGTCTATTACACAACACAAAAATATTTTCTTTTAATTTCTTTTTAAGAAATAAATGCCATATAACATAATCCTATGTATTTAAATGTTGTATTAGATTCTATCAACTGTGAATAAAGGAAAATAATCATAAACTCTTTATTAAATATGTATAAAAACATATTTTGCATTCATAATATTAGAATAGAAGACATTATATATAGAACTGTAAAAAAATTCATCAAAATTTTATAGACTAAAATGTCCATTTGATTAGGGTTAAGGTTAGGGTCAGAGTTTTCTTAGCAGATTTTTTTTAAGTTTTAATTTTTTTAAGAGAGATAAATATAATTTTTTAACAAAAATCTAGCTAACTATACGTGTTTCAACTCTTAGTTCCACAAATTTAATAAAAATCTAGACAATTATTTAAAAATTTGGGAGTCTTTAAAAAGGATTAGGATTCAAGTCCTAACATTAAGTAAAATTTAAGAATGTTTTTAGGATTTGACTAATCTGTAAATATCATTATTCTGACCCATATATTATGAGTTAAATAGTGCATGACTTAATATATTGTTTTTAATTAATATAGAGACAGAGCTGGATTAATTATTTTTGGGTTAGGTAGGATTGGCTCCCAGGCTTCAGCCCTTTCTTATAGCTCTAATTGTATAAGAAAAAGTAACTATCTAATAATACTTAAACCAATAAAAACTGATTATAGATAATAGAGTTTTTAAAACATTATTGTTAAATATGGATAGAAATATATTATATTTACTTTATATAAGTAAATATAATCAATTTAATAATTTTAAGTTTAAGTATAATCTATTATCTATTATAAATTCTTTATTAAGTCTAACGTGACTTTCTTAAAATATTAATTTGAGTTACTAGTCTTTTTAATAATCTTATTTCGTATTAAAATTGTTAATAAATCATTAAATATCTTTATAAGTAAATTATCAAACTATTTAAATAGATATGTTTATATAAAAATCATAAGATTTGTATATAAATAAGTTATAAATAATAGTTTAGTACTTTAGATATTTGTAATAATATTATATATTTTTATTTATTACTTTCAAACCATATATTTGATTTGAATAAGTAAATTACTAAACATATAACACACAATTGAATAAACATTAATCTACAAATCATTAAACAAATTTAGTAACATAAATTTTTATACTTTAAATCAACTAAATAAAATTTACACTTAAAAGTAGCAAAAGCAACAAAAGAAATACACAAGAAACATTATTATTTTAAAATAAATTATAAATATATTAATAAAAAATATTTATCAAAAAATAATAATACAAAAGACTTCTACGAGCGTTGTTCTATCTTATATAATAAAGATACTTTTCAACTAAAACAAAAGAATTATAATATATAATTTAAGATTTTATTTATTTTAAAATTTAATTTAATATAATATTATAATTTTTATATAAAATTATTTAATATATTATTATTAATTTTATAAATCTTAAATAAGTTATTCAACTAGGTCTAATAATTTTTTTAAGTTCAATTTGACTTATTTAATTAATTAATTTTTTTTAAAAATAAATTAAATCTATTACTTAATTAGATTTAATCAGACTAAACTTTAAAAAATTTAAGCAATAAATTCCTATCAAATAAATTTATATTTATCCTATTCTAAAAATATACTTTATTAAATATTTGTAATCACATAAAAATATGCATAAGAATATTTTTTAATTAGTATTTTTAAATGTTTAATAATATTGTTATATAATAATATTAATATAAAGTCAACTAAAATAATTATAATTGTCAATGTCAAAATAAAAATATTAAATTCTACTTTTTATTTCTGAAAAACAAATGTGCACAATTTTAGAATAATTATATTTTTTTATTATTGTGTGTATAAAGATTGATATGAAAATATTAAATATGGTTATTAAATATTTTAATTTACATAATAATAAATAATAAATAATTTTTATCACAATTAAATAATTTTATTTAAATATAAATTTTTTTATTTATCTTTTTATTGTGTGTTATAGGTATACAATATATATATATATATATATATATATATATATATATATATATATATATTAATAATTAACATCGATACATGTTTTGTGAGCACTAATTCTTGAAAGAAGTTATTTTTAAAAATTTCTTAAATATGAATATTTTAAATTTTAATTCTTTTTTATCATTTAAAGCAATTTTTCTATATTAAGTATTTTTTTATTTAATATTGACTTTTTATATTTATTTTTGAATTAATTTTTTCTTTATTTAATTTTATTTAAATATTTATATTAATAATTATAATTTTTAATTTTTAAATTTATAATATATTAAATTTAAAAATAATTATATGAAATATATTTTATTATTTATTTATACTTTTTTATTTAATTTAGATATACACACCAAGTGTATGAAAAAAAGGGTGAAATATCTTAAGTATAGTTTGATTTGCTTATGCACTTGTATGCACATTAAGAGGCTCATTGGTAAACATAATTAAATAAAATAATTATAGGATAAAAATTGAATAAAAATATGTTATGATAAAAGTAAGGAAAAGTAATAATTAAAAAAAGAATATACGAGTAGTTCATATAATTTGTGACCTAAGTTCATGAGTAAATTAAAATATTTCTATATATTGTGATTTATGTATATACTACGACCTATTCTTCTATTCTTGTAAAGAAATGTCATTTTTGCTTTTAAAACAAAAGTATATAATGACCGATAAGGTACAATAATAATTTTGTTTATTATAATTAACTAAAATAATAATGGCTAAAGTTTAGGAGATAATAGAAAAATTAAGTTTATGTTATGTTATATCTTACTATTTGAGATAAACAAAAAATAATAAAATAATATATAAATTATTTAAATGAAAAGTTAATTTTTTTAATCAAAATTAAAACTTTTAAAAATATTATTATTTGTCCTTTTGAAAATGACATATTTTTTATAAAATACTGAAAAGTGACATAAAATATAAGTAAAAAATTATTTTCATAATATTTCCTAACACATCTTTTAGAATAAAAATTTAAAATTTAAAATTTAAAAATAAGACAAGATTACTTAAAGGCTATATGCATTATATTTTTTTTAACCTGAGCAACAAAGAAACATGTAGGTAGAATTCAAGTGATTATCCTGAAAGTTGACTTCTGGAGTTATAACTTGAAAGTTGGCTTAAATTTTCCGCAATACAACACCGACCTTGCACAAAAACTGCATACCAATCTGGCTAGTTTCTCGTCAAAGTGCTGCCTTTATATTTCAAAGTAAGTACTGTTCATCAATTGAGGATAAAGTAGTCAAACTCACTACCCAGAACTCGGAATAACAGTTTAAAGTCATTAATTTTACATTGAAGACAGAGCATTAGAAAGAAGCTTCCCGATAAAGTTGATGAGTTCTCTTCGGGTATTCCTCCACAAATCTCTCTCTCTTTTTAGAGACACGCGTTTAAATGTTTAGGGTAATTTCTTTTAAAATAATGTTATTATTTTTACTAAAGTTTACATGTCCTCAGCTTCAACAATAATCTATACTAAATTATAACAATAATTACATATTAATTACTAGCCAATACAAGTTCATTAGAGAAATCATCACCAATATCATCCTACCTTGTTAATTTAGCCAATCCTCATATGGCTCAATACTATTATTACATATTTTCATTTATAATATTAATCATTTTCCATGTTACCATAGTTGAAATCAGACTGTACAAAGTTATATAGTCCCTATAAACTATTTTTGAAAAGTTCTGTGCTTACATAATATGGATTTATCTTATAAGTTGATGTTATTATGATTAATAAAAATAAAATTACTACAAATTGTAAATGAGGTGTCTAATTGTTGCAGAATGCTCATAAATGCCTTTGTCATCAATTTACCATATCAGATGCATTTAAGATGAAATCTCTCCAGTATAACATTAAATATTAATACCATGATGCCTAGATGTTTATGAGTATAATATGCCTTTGCTTTAGGAAATAGATAATATATAAAACCCCGTGAGTGAAGTGTTAAAGTTTAATGCTTTTATTTTCTTTAAAAGGGACTATATAAAAATCATGCCATGTAAAACTTCACAGGCATAGAACCATCACACCTCGAAAGGTTCACGTTAATTTAACTTTTCTAAAATGAAAACAATACAGGTGAGTTTTTATTAATTTAAATTAAATATTCCACAATTTAATTTAAATTAAAGTATATAGTTTTATTTTATCACTTTAGATAAAAAATTTATTAATTTTTTATAATAAATATTAATTAGTTTTCTAAATATATTTAAAAAAAGTAAAATAATCATTTTTATTAAAAAATATTATTAATGCACCTCCTTCATGATTTTTAATACATCTTAATATAATTTTTAATAAAAAATTTACTCTCTTGATTCTCTAACTAATGTTATAATGATATAAATTAATAATTTTATTTTTTTAATCACATTTTCCATCTCATCTTTCTCCTTCTTTCTGTTGTTATTTATTTGTTTTCTTTCATTTCCTTTTGCCCATTCAATATAAGTGAGATGTAACATATTATTATCGCCCCTTTAGTAGGGCAAAACAATCTATATACAACAATAATTAATTTCATTTTAAGTATATAAAATCTAAAAATTTAAATCATACAATTCTATATAAATTGTCAAAATTAAAAGTTAATAGTCATACAATTATTTTAAATTTTCATATACATTTTTTAATATTAGTAATTTAAGTAAGATTTAATGATTTATATTTAACTTTTTACTTTTTACAATAATCAAGTATTTTTAATTGAATAATTTTTTAAAAAGAAAGATGATTTTTTGTGAGAATATAAGATGTGACTGAAGTTTAAAGTTGATCTTGCTTAGACAGCTGTATAAGGATATTTAAGATTTACTTAAATTTAATTTTAATAATTTATTTATGACTATGTTTTTTTACACTTTTTCATTTACAACCCTTAATTAGATAACCATAAATGTTTTTTTTTTAAAGTACCAGAAATGAATTTTCAAAATTAGATTTAAGGGCGTGACTGTATCTAAATAGATAGATTTACTTTGCAAATAAAATCTCTCTCCATTTTCAATCTCTCCTCCATGGAGGCCAAATCACAAGCCCCACAATTGCATCATCAGTCTCTCAGCATGACCCCCCTCCCCCAGAATGAAACAAGCGATATTGAATCCACAGATCAACAAGGTACGGAAGAATCACATCCAAATCTACCTTCATTATCCGCAGACAACAAAAATCAGGTGCATGAAGATCAAAAGTCAATCACCAACAAGAGGTACATACCCCTTTTGGTTCTTAATTACCTAATGCTCTTTGTGGGTTCACTCTCTTCAAGTTTGCTCTCCAAGTACTATTTCATCCACAAAGGTTCAAGCAAATGGGTCTCAACTTGGGTTCAGTGCGCAGGTTTTCCTCTCTTGATCATCCCAATTTGTCTCCCATGTATCCTTAAATACACCAAGAGAAAACCCTTCACTGATTTCAGTCTAAAGATGTTTATTTTATCAATTTTTGTTGGTTTTATGTTAGGCCTTAATAATCTTTTGATCTCATGGGGAGTTGCATATCTCCCAGTCTCAACCTCAGCACTTGTCTTGTCCTCTCAACTAGTTTTCAACCTCATTCTCTCAGCCATTATTGTGAAACAAAAGATAACCTTTTCAAACCTTAATTGTGTCATCCTTCTTACCCTAAGCTCCATCATCCTTGCCTTAAATTCTAGTCACGAGAGACCAAAAGGGCTCACACAAAAGAACTACTTCATTGGATTCTTTTGCACCATAGGAGCAGGTTTGTTATTTGCCTTGTATTTGCCAGTGATGGAGAAGATTTACAAGAAGGTGTATTGCTACGAAATGGTGATGGAAATGCAACTCGTAATGGAGATTGCAGCTACAGCATTAGCCACCGTAGGCATGTCATGGGATGGAGGATTTTCTGAAATGAAGGAAGAAAGTCAAAGGGTATTTGATAAGGGAAGCACAGTTTATTGGGTGACAGTGATGGCTAATGTGGTGACATGGCAATTATGCTTTATGGGCACTGCAGGAATGGTGTTTTTGACATCTTCACTAACTGGTGGAATTTGCATGACAGCATTGCTATCCATGAATGTGTTAGGAGGGGTAGTGGTGTACAGAGATGCTTTTGGAGGCTTCAAGGCTGTGTCAACTGTTTTGTGTGTATGGGGATTTTGCTCTTATGTCTATGGGATGTACATTAAAATGGTGCAAGAGAAAGCTCGAATGAGGAATAGGAGTGAATCTTCCGCAGAGTTGATCCCTATTGGGAACCGTGGGGTGATTCATTGATAGGATAGTGGTACTAGCTTCTTAATTGCCAAGTTGGTGTAATTAATAAGTTTGGTTAAGATTCAATAGCATGTTACTTATAGTATACAACTTAGACGCGTGCTTTAAGTATTTTTTAATTTAAATTTAAATTTTATTTCCAATAATTAGATTAATGAATGTTGGCATTAAAGATGGACTGGCTTCTTGTCTGTGAAAACAAAATAACTGGTTTCTAAAATGCTAAAATTATCACTCAGACACTCAGTGTTCTATTTGTATCGTAACGTGTGTTAGATACTACTTCTTTCGATTTTGTCTGTAAAATATAATTATTAATATTTTTATCTTAATTGTAAAAATAAAACTATATTTTTAAATATATTAATTGTAAATTCATTTTTATATTTATTGTGAGATTTATTACTATCTATATATTAATATATATATATATATATATATATATTCATTTAATTTTTTTAATGTATATCTATGGATACACAATAAAAATTTATGTATAATAAATTTATTAAAATGTTAATAAATTAATAACATTAAATGTTACAATTTTTAATTAAATTATTTTTAATTTCTCAATATGTGTCACCAAATCACACTGTACTGATAATCATTATCTAATGTACTCTTTCTTGTTTTTTTATAAGATAATTTTATCTAAATTACACAAATCAACAAAAGTAGTTAAACATATATAGATTTTTTATTTTTTAAATTATTATAACATAATAATTTTACATTTATTTATTATTATTATTTTGTTCTCATTAATAAAAAACAATTATCTAATTTATTAAGATTAATAAAGGATAATTATATATCATGAATTTATACTCTATTCTAAAAACATAAGACATCTTTAATGTTAATTGGTAAAATTGATGTCTTATATATTAAATTAATAAATACATTCAATTATATAGGTAAATGTGAGCATTTTATTAACACAAATTTGACCATAAATAAAAGTATACAAATAATTTTAATTTTAATTTTTGCTAATAAGTATACAAATAATTTAATAACAAAAAACTCAACCATAAATATAAGTTTTTATTTTTTTTATGATTATAACAAGAAAGTATTGGTAGTTATTTCTAGAAATAACTTCTAATCTCATTATCAATATTTATGTACCTTTGTTAAATATATATTTAATTTTTTTCCTTTACCAAAAACAATTCTATCAACTCCATTTATTAAAAATAAATAAAAAAGACATAATAAATATTTTATAAAAAATATCTTTAAAAATAACCATTAAAACTTTAATTTATAAAACAATGTCTTATTTAAAGAAACTCAATGTTTTTAAAATATATCATAAAATTCTGAAATATATTTATTTTTATTAGTTATGACGAATTATTTATTTATTTATGATTTAAAAAGTTAAGAAAAAAAGTTACATCTTCAACCATTAATTGAAGTAACTCCGTATCAGAATCAAAAATACAATACAAGCACGGTAGACATTAATTTTTAAAGTAAAACTTTAATTATAAAATATTACTAAAAGAAGAAAACAAAATTTATATTAGTATAAGTTTAAAAATTCTTACACTCAATTTAAATTTTTTATTTAATTTAAATTTAACTGCCAATGAAGTAATAAATTATAATTCGTTAAATTTAAATTAAATAAAATTCATTAAGTGTAAGTTTTTAAACTTACGTAAGATTCTGTCCAATACTAAAAATATGTAACAAAATAACTTACTATATTCAAGTATTGTCGTTAGAATACATTCTTTTCCAATTTTCATTTTTATAAACGCAAATTCTTGTTTATCTTTGATTATTTATGCAATTAAGGAGCACTTAATCCTAGCCAATCGACTTAATGATGATATCTTTGTATACCACGAAGAAAGGTGATAACTTCGTAATCACTATCGATATTTTCTGGGCTGGTAAGTTGATCTAAAGTTTGGTATAACTTTGTTATCCACAGCTTTGGTATCACAGGGAATCTGTTGCTTAAGTTTACTGGGATTTGATGACCCAAAGAAAAAAAAATTAGTGGGGTTTTTAAATAGAGTCACGTATAGCATGTTTTAGAATCACACTAAATCTCTAAGAATCTTATAAAATCACGTTAAATGCTGAAAATTATATTAAACTATATTTTAAGGTAAAAATTATAAACCATATAGTGTTAAAATAAACTACACTTTGAGTAGATTTGATACAAAACTAAACCCATTATCAGTGATCAAGTTCTCTGCCTATAGCTCTCTTGTGGTTTATGCATTGTTGTAGGTGAATGTGTATTAAAATTTTTATCATTTTTTTAGTCTGAATCTTTTTAGCGTTTCGAAATTATTTAAGGGCTTAATTGTCAATGAGAAATTGTATTGGCATAAATTTTTTATAAAAAATTAATAGAAAAAAAAGAAAAAGAATGAAATAAAATAGTTGATCTGACAAAGAAAAAAATATTATATTTTTAAAAATTTATCGTATAAGTAAATAATTTTATTATCTATTAATTAGAATGGACTAAAAGGATCCAATTAAAAGGATTATACTTATCAATCACCTTATTTTTATTTACAGGCTCAGATAAGAAAAATTTCCACCTAATTAACTGAACATATTGGCACATTTTGATCAGTTTGATTGTATCAATAGTAACACGTGGAAATTTATTAAATAAAAATAGTAACACGTGAAAAGAAAATCAAACATGATTAATTCCTCAACATAGAGTACCCTCAACATAGAGTACCGGTGCTTATCCCAGTGAAAAGTAAGGTAAAAATATAATGAAAAATATACATTATTTAAATGAGTTAAAATTTAAAAAAATTACTTGTTTAAATAAAAAAGTAAGAGAATAAACAAATAATTAAGTCATATTAAAAATTTATTAAAAATAATTTTTTTATAAATTTTTAATAAATATTTATTTTAAATTTTTTTTTATCAAATTTATAATATATAATATTATTTAAACCCTCCTCCTTTCACGGGGAGGAGAGAATAGGTCTAACAAATTAAAAATTCCTTGTTTTTTTCCCTCTATTCATCTGAACCTTGTCCCATTTCCTACCCTCCTCACATTCTTTCCTCTGACCAAACGGAACCTTGATAAATACTTCATTTTCAAGAGTCCCTGAATTGTTAAAAAAATTTATCACATCAATTTCTAGAGTTAATAAGCATTAATAACACTTAAACATAATTGTTCAGGTGATATGTGAAATACCAACTTAATATGGTAGTTATCACTTAAACTAATATTATATGTTAGACAATGGATATTTAAGGTAAATGAAGGAGAACATGATAACACGATATATAATTTAATTCATTTGTTGTGCAGCCCTTAGCAATTTATTTTTATATTTTTAAATTAAATTTTTAATTTTTATTGTGAAGGGTTAAAGTATTGAATTATTTGATATGATAATAGGAAATCTTTTGGCGTAATAATAATTTTTATTTGTAATAATTAATTTAAAATGATTTAAATATATAAAAAAAATATAAGTAAAGGTACAGTTGAAGAGATTAATAATGACTTTTAAGTTAATAAAAAGAATGGAAGAAAATTCAAAATAACATTAGAGAAAATTATTTAAAGCAATCTCATAATAAATAATACCTTAAAAAATTAATTTTTAAAATATATAATCATGTAACTGAATTTACTCGATAGAATAAAACTTGATTATTATTATGATGCATATTGCTCAAAATTCTAGAGTAACCAATGGAAGAATACTTCGGTGTAATTATTATTATTATTAAATAGTTAAATCTCACTGAAAAATATTTGTTCATACCTTTTTCCCTTGTATTCACAAAACCAGTTTTTTTTTTCTTCATTTTTTACATAATTAATTACATTGTTTTTCTTTAATTTTTCAATTTTCTAGTACTAATAATATTTGAGAGAACAAATACAATTTGTGAATGAACATTAGAGAGGCTCTGATTACTCAACACCCCGTGATATATATATATATATATATATATATATATATATATATATATATATATATATATATATATATATATATATATATATATATATATAGCTGTTACCTGTAAAGTACAAAATCTTTTTTTTTTCTCCTTTCCTTTTCTTTAATCATTATTGCGCTCACAAAATTAGCTCACAGATTGAACTTTTACTACGAGCTCACAGAATGCTTGCGGCACTTTTTGTCCTTTCCATATTTTTTCATGACAAGCTTTAAAGTTTAATACCTTAAAGAAAAAATCTTTGATAAAGTGACTTATGAAAGAACTTGTTTTTTTTTTGTTAATAAATTCGTGAAGTTGTTTGATATAATTTTTTTGGGTACAAGTTGGTAAAACTGTTTAATAAACACAAATATAAAATATATTTATAATTTTTGAAAAGGAATTTGTAGTTTTTAAAAGTCATGAAAAGTTATTTCAGCTTTTAGCTTATTGAAAGCTAACTTTCAATTATAAATATGGATGTTAATTATAATTTAGTAATATGTATGTATGGATGTATAGAACATGTTGTAAATTTATGTTTATTTTGGTTAAAATGTTATCATTTAGTTTTAAAAGTAATATATGTATGGTAAATAAATAATTAATATTTTATTATATTTTGTTTTGATTAAAAAAAAGTCATATCTTTATTAAATAAATAAATAAATAATACAGGATTATATCTCAAATTTTACTTGAAAGCTTTTTAAGACAGATAACTAAACTTATAAATATTTGCTATAATTATTTTGTAATAATATTATGGCAATTTAAAATGATAAGAGAATATGTCAATATATAACATATACATATATAAAAAAAAATAAATATAAATCATCATTCATGTTCTAAAGGAAATATTGCAGAGTATGAATAGCGTTTTTTCTTTTTTTTTTTTTGTGTGTTGAGCAGAGTATGAATAGTTGTATACATTTTCATGAGTAGCAAATATCATGGAGTATGCACATGTTATTGAGAAGGGAAGGAACACTGGAGTAAGGGGACGTATGAGAGAATATATAATTCACATGCAAAATTCGTGAGTGTTGATATTATTCTCCAGTCCAAATTGAACAGTATGCTCAAAGCCCATCCAAACTAAAAAACAAATATCCCTAACTTAGTATGCGTTTGATTTAATGTTTATTTTAAAAAAATAATTACTTTTAAAATTAAAACATCTTTAAAGATACCTTAAGAGTGTTGTTTATTTTATTTAGCACAAATTAGAGGATTTTTTATTTAATAATTATGAGAATCATAATTCATAAACATGTTTAAGTTAGAAAAAACTAGAAAAACTCCTAATAAAATTAATTTAAATAATTTTTAGATAAATTTCACCTTAGAAAGTGTACACACATTGAATGAAGAGAAAATAAAAAATAAATTATTATCCCTTTTTATATTTTATAAAATAATATTAAATAAAAAGTATAAGTATATATATATATATAATAAATTATTCATATTATATTTTAAAATTTTAATAGTCTTAAATAATTATATTAATAATATATATTAAATGAATGAATATATTTACATATATAATTAAGAGGTGATTATTTTATTAATACAAATATATTGATTTCTTCATTTGTTTTCCCTTTAGAAATCTCTCCTTCATTCATATTTTCTAATAGATTTCCACCAAAAGCTCTCATTCTTGTGATCAAAACTTTTCCCTTTTCCAATGGCATGTTAATTGTTGTGCATTCCATGGCGATTTTTCATCATAGAGGTGTTCTATAAACTCATTCATAATGTATTTCTTTTTTCCCCAAAGCCATCTTTTTCCTTTTCTTTCTTTTGTTAAAGATGGTGAAAGTAATTGTTCAAAATAGCTGATGGGAAAAGGTTTGTGAAGTAGAGAATTTAATCTCGTTGCCATGCAATTTGCAAGGATAGATAAAACCCTTTATATATAGCTGGTAGGGATGGACTTAGGTTCCAGTGGGTGTGTTGTTAGTCAAGTTTAAAGAATGAAAACTTAGTCACTTGTGAATCATCTGAGTCATTACAATGGTGTTTGAGATGTCACTTATGTACTGATTATTCAATTTGTTTATATATAAGTTCAACTAACCAATTTAATTATAAAAGTAGTAAATAAATAAATATGTTGAATTAAATTATCATTTATTATTAAATAAATAGTACATTATTTAATATATTTTATAATTCAAACGATCAAATAATCTAAAATTTATATTGGTTGAAGTACAATAGGATAGATAGGGAGTGCTTGAGTACTTCATTCAGCTGGCCAATGTTCTTAATCTAAACTCACAGGGAGTGAACATTGAATTTAAAGTTACTTTGGAAAAATGATAAAATCAATTATAAACTAAATTTAAATTATAAAGTCAGTTTTTAACTAATTTAAAAAAGATAAATTAATTTAACATTTAATTTATATAATTTAATTTTAAATTAATCTAATCCATTCTCAACCTTCTATTTTATATACTTAAAAAGGACAACATTTTCTTCCAGAGGCGTATAGACTGATTTTGAAGTTGTGTTCATACTCAACTTGACCTTGACATGCAACATAAAATCACGTGGGCATTTCTACTGAGGCTTATTTGTTTATGTTTGGAAATCAAATTTGCAAACCAAAACACACATTTTAATGAAAATTTATCCAAATATGTATTGTTAGCTTGTGAGAGGCATGTTTTCAAATAACCTTCAATTAAACTTTCTTTCAAGTTATTTCCCTCCTATGTCACCAAAAGGAGAATTAATTAGGTAAGTTGAACAATCATTTTCCTTCCACTTAATAAGTCATTTATATGATGTTGGCTAATTTTGTTCATTCTTACCATATTGGTCTTTTCACATTAATTCTTTCTCATCATCCTCATGACTGTCCTGTTTGTTTTCAAATATATGTGTCTTTCTGACCTTTTCAAGATTATTTCAAAAGTTTTTTAATTACATTCTATCAAACAGTTATGTTTTTACTATTAATAAACATGTAAAAATTATTAATATTTATTGATATATCACATTAAACAGCATGCATGATATTAACATAGCATTAAAATAACTTTGTTTTAAATTTAAATAAAATAAATATTTTTTCCTTAATTAAAATTTTTGACCTTATCTATAAAAATTGTCTCTTCTAAAAATGTCATATTTAAGAGCAATTTTTGTCTCACTAGATTTCTCCAGCTTTGCTAAAAGCTCTTCCATTTGTATCACATCTACCTTTTCAATTTCAAGCTCTTTCAATTGATTTATCATCTTACTTCCTTTTAATGTGTTACTTTTTTTTTTTTACTAATTTATTAATTTCTATATTATCATGTCTTTCAACCCTTGATTCAATTGCCTCCTTGACAATCTATTAAGGAAAACATGACTTAAAATTTTCAATAAATTTAGCATAAATTGAAGCACGCACTTGCAACACAATAAAATAAGAATATATTTTTTCTCACAACCAAAATGGTATAAATCTAACTTGAATATTGTATAGTTTTTTTTTTTTTCAAATGTCTTATAATATCAGTCACAATTAAGCAACTCAATCTTTAACATAATGCGCATCATTTCACTCATAATAGATGTATTTATAAATCTAGAGTTTGGATCTTGGTCCCATCATGCATTGTTTTTGCCTTGGAATATCTCTTTCGTCCTCAAAATATATCCTAGATGAATGAAGAGTCAACTAATTAGTTTACTTTATATTTCTCTCAACACACTCAACAAAACAAAGTCATTTTAGTAACATGTTGACATTACATATATCATTTAATGTCAATATCAACCAAAGTCAATGTTTCTTACACATTTAAATAGACTACAATTTGAGACAATTAACAAAATAATTTTAAAAAGTAAAAAATTAATATACTTGAATTATACTGTCTTTGTAACTAATTTATAGGTTTATTTTAAATTAAATATTTCACTTTTTTTTTCTGTAAAAACTTCTTTTCTTAGTATGATGTTCAAAATATGAAATTCTTAAAAAATTTTGTGATTAATAAAAATAAATTTGTCATAAAATTATACATCAAGTAGGTGACTAATTATCTATGAATTCTTTTTTTTCCGTACACTAATGGTTGATTATTAGTGCGTATTATTAGTAAATCATGATATATTATTACTCAACAGCATCATATTATTAATGCATGTTTGTAATATTTAAATTAGTTTAAGTTTAATTTAAATAATTACTGTATCAAAAAAGATAATCTTAATTCTTTTGTTTACGCATAATTGAGTTCATGATCACATGCATTACAGTGATATCTTCTCAATGTAAATATTAATTAATTGGATAATGTGTATCTCACATTCCTTATGTAACGTGAAAAGAGTTTAGGAGATAAAATGAGACAGAAAAAATAATAAATAAAAACATATAATAAATAATGTGATAAAGAATATAAAAAATAAAATTAAGTCTCTATTTTTTTGTATAAATATTTTTTCTTTGATTTTACAAATAAATTTGATGAATTACAATAAATAGTATTTTTAGGTTTTTATAGTAAAACTATTCTTGAATTAGTAAAGTTAATTTAGATTTAACTTGCACTTAATCATTTTATTTTTAAGGATGAACCCACTCTACTACATTAACTACAACATTTGAAGAAGTTAAAGTTCCTTTTTATTTCTAAGATGATAACAAATCATCAAAATTTAAGGATTAGCCCCGTCTGTGTTTTTTAAATGACATCAATTCTAAAGTAGCTGCTTAGATATTTTAAATTTATGAATTATAAATGCTAATATTTTTTTAAAAAAATTACACATATAAAAATGGTTTTAATTTAAATATTATTAAACAGTACTAGAAATGTCAGTGTACTTTAATTTTTTTTAAAAAGTATCTAAAGTTTTATTACCTTAATCTATGTAGTTATCTTTAATATTACTTAATATAATATAATTTTATTATTATTAAAAATAATTACAAAAATTAAATTATGAAAAAATTAAATAAATTCGTACAATAGACGAGCATAATAATTAATTTATATATATGAATTATTTTATTATATTCTTTAATATAATATATCTTTATTATTATATAATATAATAATAGCAATAAATTTTTAAATATATCTTTTTATATATAAATTAAATTATTATTTTTAATTTTAAAATAAGATAATTTATGAAAAAATATGATCAAAGTACGTTATACGAAAAATAGGGATCAACCAAATTTATTAATTTTCCAATTTTCCAGTGGTCCACTGTGCTTATAATAACCAAAGTAGTCGAAATAACACTACACACGTAAGAATAACATCAAATACAACTTCACACCTAGAGATGACAGATGGTTCTCAATGAAGCTGACAAGCAAGGAAAATAGCTGAATAACTTCAACTTGATCGGTTTCAATTAAAATGCCAACAAATACAAAGCTGTGTTCCACTTTAGAACCTTCATGATATCTTTTCCTCCATGGAAGTTACCCCATCACTGCCCCCCGCACTTCATCATCATCATCCTCAGTCTCTAACTATGACCCCTTGTGTCAAGAACTACACCAGTGACATTGAACTCATTGATCAAGAAATTTGTGGAGAAGAATTAGCACATCCAGATCTACCATCTTCCATGGACAAGACAACAATGCAGTTGCATGCAGATCAAAAGTCTTGCACTAACAAGAGGTACATGCCCCTTTTGGTGACTAATTACCTTTGTCTCTTTGTTGGGTCACTTTGTTCAAGTTTGCTCTCTAAGTACTATTTTATCCACAAAGGTTCAAGTAGATGGGTTTCAACTTGGGTTCAAACTGCAGGCTTTCCTCTCTTGATGATCCCAATTGCTCTCTCTTATCTTCTCAATTTCACTAAGAGAAAACCCTTCACTGATTTCACTCCCAAGATGTTAATTTTGTCCGGCTCAATTGGAGTTGTGCTAGGATTAAACAACCTTCTCTTCTCATGGGGAAATTCATATCTTCCTGTTTCAACATCAGCCCTTCTTTTATCTTCACAACTAGTTTTCAATCTTGTCCTATCAGTGATCATTGTGAAGCAAAAGATAACATTTTCAAACCTTAATTGTGTCATTCTTCTTACCTTAAGCTCCATTCTCCTAGCATTGGATTCTAGTCATGAGAGACTAAAAGGGATAACCCAAAGGAACTACTTGATTGGATTTTTTTGCACCATAGGGGCGGGTTTATTGTTTGCCTTGTACTTGCCAGTGATGGAGAAGGTTTACAAGAAGGTTTATTGCTATGAAATGGTGATGGAAATGCAACTCATAATGGAGATTGCAGCAACAACATTGGCCACAATTGGCATGGCATGGGATGGTGGGTTTTCTGAGATGAAGACAGAGAGTGAGAGGATATTTGATAAGGGAAGCACAGTTTATTGGGTGACAGTGATGGCTAATGTGGTGACTTGGCAACTTTGCTTTATGGGCACTGCAGGAATGGTGTTTCTGACATGTTCATTGACTGGGGGAATTTGCATGACAGCATTGCTATCCATGAATGTGTTAGGAGGGGTGGTGGTGTTCAGAGATGCCTTTGGTGGTGTTAAGGCTGTGTCCACTGCTTTGTGCATGTGGGGGTTCTGCTCTTATGTTTATGGCATCTACAATAAAATGAAGCAACACAAAGATCCAATTAACAAGAAGATTTCTGAGACCTCCTCAGAGTTGATCCGCATCGTGGATCGAGGTGGGAATTTTTGATCTATATATTTGCCTTTCGTATATTAGCTTCTATATGTGTTGTCATCTTCTTATAATAAGCTAGTTTGACTTGGACTCGAGTAACTTCAATAGTTAATTATATGTCAGTGTTGATATTTTCCTACCCATGTATATGTATGTATCTTATCTAGACCTAAACTGTTGTTATCTATAAATCAACTCTTCAATTAATGACCATTGAAGCATAAAACGTAAATAGAAATATAAGTAAACATTTTTCAACACGTTATTTTTAACATTTTTTATTATTAATTAAATTTTATAAAATTATATAAGAGACTCATTGAAAAATGCTAACCAAAATATTTCAATATTTACATCCACCTTAATTTGTAAAGTCTAGTTACGGCTTATGTATAACAGTAAGTAGTTGTGAAATACCACATTTGGATATATTCGGTATATTAATAGTAAAAGGGGAGAGCGATTAGCATAATTAGTAATTTAAGGTTTGATGAATTCATTACAAAATATTAGACTCGGTATTTTGCTCAAGATAATAACAAAAGATGCAGTCCTCTCTGACGTGCTTTTCATTTTATATATTTTTTTATGTAGACTTTTATTATATATTATATAACTCTAAAAAGTTTTAAACTTATACTTTAATCAAAATCACTTTATTATAATGTGCTTAGTTCAGTAGCAAGATGTTACTGAATTTATGTGAAAAAAGAGTAAATCATTAGATATTGTTTCTGAATTTTGCAAAAAGAGGTTGCATGGTCCCTTCATTATTCCCATCATTTTTTTTTCTAAAAATGAAAAAAATATTCTTAAGTTAAAATACTTTTAGTAAAGATAAATGAATTTTAGAACGATATACTTTGTTTAGAAACTATTTTAGTCACCCAAATATATACAAATGTGATTGGTTCTCTGATAGATTAATAAATATATCTATGTAGCCCTTTAATGCAAAATTTTAAGAAGACCATTAATGTAGAAAATTGACGATATTTATATGTGAATATGCAAATAAATGTTATTGCTTATTTATAGAGAGAGTCTTAATAAATACATGTGAATCAAATAATTTAAATTAATTTTTTATTAAATTTTAATAATTTAATAATTTGTTTCAAATATAGAATTTTAAATAAATTAAATACTAAAACTAGGTGATGACTACCATAAATTAGTATACATAATTTAGTAAAATATTTGTTATAATAAATTTTAAAAGTTATAGTGTTTATACTTTAATTTTTAATAAAAATTCATAAATAATTTTTTTTAAGTATTATATATTTAAAATAAGTCTTTTAAAAATATTTTTTTAAATTAAATATCTTTTAAAAGCATAATTGTAATAGTTACAAAATTATTATTATTTTTACATATAATTCAATTTCATTCTCTTAAAATCACTTCCTTTTATATTTGATTCTAAAGGTAGTTCAATATTATTTTTTGTGTGTTTTTAACAATTAATTTGACAAATTTAGTGACTATAATTAAAATTTAAGTGATAAAATTTGAAAAGATTATTCAATATAAGAAATTTAATGAAATCAAGTAATCTTCGCTTAGAATAATATTGTAAAAGTTTTGTTCAATTTTTTATTATCCTATTTCATTTCATCCTTATTTTTTTCTTCCCAATAATATATAAATATGTTTTTTAAATCTAACAATTTAAATAATCATACTCTCTGAGCATTGTCATATTTTGAATTGTGATATCTATAAATGAAATCAATTAAATTTATAAATATCATAAATTTATCTCAATTCTTTTTAAAACGAACAATCTAGCTAGATTAAAATAGAGGCAATGACTAAAAAAATAAGTGATTGAATACTAAAAAATGTAGAAAAATCATTTTTTATAACTTTTGCTTAACTTAATTTTATATAATGATAAAAATATAAATTTTGTCAATATTCGTTTAAGTCATAATAATTTAACTTAAAAAAAATATATGATACTCAATCTTAACTTAAGTAAAACTTTATTTACTTAAGCAAATATTAAAATATTTTGTGTGGCTTAAGTAAATTAATGACCGTTTAAGCTATATTTATTAAGTGAACCATTTTTTTTTAGAACTTTTGCTTAAGGAATAAAAATATGGCTTAAGCAAAATTTACAAAAATTATGCACAGCAAATACAATCAATGTACATAGAGAGCATGAGAAATATCTAAAAAAGGCATTGAAAAATTTGTCAATACTAAAGTTTATTTTCTTGATAAATTAAATATAAGAATGAATGTGAAAGTTTTAATTTTAAAAATTATTAAAATGACATTCAATATTTTATTTATTTAAAAATTATTTTTATTATAAATTAAAACATGTGAATACATATCTTTTTAAAATTACCACCGGATACAAGATTCAAACAAATACAACTTAAAAAATATAATAGAATTTTAAAGATAAAAAATAGAAGATATAAAATAATAAAGTTTGAAAGTTCAAAAACAAAATTTTAAATTTTTATAAAATATTAAATTATAAATATATAAAAATTAATATTATTAAGTTACATGTCGAAGATCTAAACTATTTATATATTTAAATATATATTTAATAATTTAAAAATAGTTATTCGTTTATAAATTACTTATTTTGTTAACTTATGTTAGATTGAATAAATTTTTTAAAATATTAAAATAAATATTTTATAAAAAATTAAAGATATATTTAAACCATCTGAGTATCTACATAAATTGAATAATAGCGTAAAAAGATTACCTTGCACTGTTTCATGAAAACAACTATACCTCTTTCTTTTTCTTTTTTTTTTCCTGCAAAAAAGAAAAGAAAGAAAGAGATGGCAAAAGATATTGGGCTACAAATTAAAAATTGATTAAACAAAAATATGAATTTCAAGGCGGGCTTAGCCGGAAATAAAAATGGACCGTGATTGATGAGCCCAAAAGGCTCAGCAAGGTGAAGTTTTGGCGGGAAGGCGTTCGTTCCCTTTCTTCTTTCCCGCCAGAGAGCGCACCCATTTGGTTGGAGTGAGACGAGAGCTGAGAAGCTCAATTCCAAACTCAGTGGTTAGGGTTCCGAGTTTGGTGTGAGAAGAAGAAAGCGGAATCTGCAAGTGAATAGCGAAAATGGAAGCATTCGGCGGTTACTTGGTGGACGAGAAAGCCGTTAGGGTTGAAAACGCCTTCTTAGAATTTCTCAAAAGGTTCTCTTCTTCTTCTTCAATGTCTTCTTCTTTTCATTTTCGAAGTGAATAAACAATTAACTATTGTTTGAGTGTATTTCACAGCTTCAGATCCGGGCATCGTAGCGAGCTTCATTACGAAGCGGAGATCGAAGTAATGGGAGCCAACGAATCCAACACCATGTTCATCGATTTCGACCACGTCATCAGATTCAGCGATCTCCTCCAGCAAGCTATTTCCGATGAATATTTGAGGTTTTCGTTTTTTTGTTTGTTTGCTTTTAAAACCGTAATGTTTCTTATAATTTTGGGGGCATTGAGAATTGTTTTCTGTGTTGATGATAGATTCGAACCTTATTTGAAGAATGCTTGCAAGAGGTTCGTCATGGAGCTCAAGCCAACCTTCATATCTGATGATAACCCTAACAAGGACATTAACGTTGCCTTCTACAACATTCCAATCATTAAGAGGTCTCTGCATTTTCATTCCAATTTTCATTCACAATTAACAGTTTGTAACTTGTTAGTTGTACCTAATTTCATTCACAATTTTCATTCCAATTTCAATCAGGGATAAGCTTTTAATAGTATTCTCAATGATAGGGTTCTCAACGATATTTAGCGAACTCTATGTTTGTGTGTGTTGCTCACCGATGAACTTACCCACTTGCAGGTTAAGGGAATTGGCTACATCAGAAATTGGAAGGCTTGTATCTGTGACAGGAGTGGTGACCAGGACAAGTGAGGTTCGGCCTGAGCTCCTCCAAGGAACTTTCAAGTGCCTGGAGTGTGGTGGGGTTATAAAGAATGTTGAGCAGCAATTCAAGTATACTGAGGTAATTATTTTGAGTTTTGATTCTTGTCATACTTATCAATATCATATTATATATGTGTTTTTTGGCATATATTATGATTTTGTGGTTATTTGTCATCAGCTGTGTATTTTGGTTGCTATTTGACTATTCCTATTCTGACGTAATACCACATTGCAGCCATCAATCTGTGTAAATGCCACCTGTAACAATCGAACAAAGTGGGCACTGTTGCGCCAAGAGAGCAAATTTGCTGACTGGCAAAGGGTAAGAATGCAGGAGACATCCAAAGAGATACCTGCAGGTTCTCTGCCTAGGTCATTGGATGTTATTCTTCGTCATGAGGTTGTGGAACAGGCCAGGGCTGGTGACACGTGAGACTTCTCTTGCCCCATATTTCTTGAACTACTCATTATAGATGTGTTTGCTTGTCAGAATAACCAATCACATTCTGTCTCCTTGCAGGGTGATTTTCACAGGCACTGTAGTTGTTATACCTGACTTATTGGCATTAGCTTCTCCTGGAGAAAGATCAGAGTGTCGTCGGGAAGCTTCTCAGCGCAAGGGTGCTACAGCTGGGAATGAAGGTGTGAGGGGCCTTAGGGCTTTGGGAGTCAGAGACCTCTCCTATCGTCTAGCTTTTATTGCCAATTCTGTTCAGGTTTGCGTTTGTTTTTTACGGCTACTTATTGGTTTGTTCATGTGACGCGATGTTGATTTTGTGATTGGTGTGGTTTTTGAATGATATCTTTCAGATTTGTGATGGTAGAAGAGAAACAGACATCCGGAATAGAAAGAAGGATGCTGATGAAGACGATCAGCAGTTTACTGTAAATTCATGATGCTCTCCATCTGTATGCATAGATATTCATGTTGATGTAAAAAGAGCTGTATTTTTGCTTTAATTAATAATTGGGCATCATGTGCTATTTTCAATCGCCTCAAAAAGCTACCCATTTTAGGTTGGTTGTTATCGATCTCTTATATGTAAACTGGTTTGGACCTCTCCGTTCATTTTCTTTTTCTTTCCATCATTTGT